AACATAGACTCCATCAAGTTGCAGTGGGGGAGGTTTAGATTGGATATTAGGAAAAACTTTTTCACTAAGAGGGTGGTGAAACACTGGAATGCGTTACCTAGGGAGGTGGTAGAATCTCCTTCCTTAGAGGTTTTTAAGGTCAGGCTTGACAAAGCCCTGGCTGGGATGATTTAACTGGGAATTGGTCCTGCTTCGAGCAGGGGGTTGGACTAGATGACCTTCTGGGGTCCCTTCCAACCCTGATATTCTATGATTCTATGATTCTATGATTCATTGGGCCTTACAGTCTTGCAGATCAGGGCAACTCTATTGACTTTACCCCTTAGGTCTCACTGCCTAGAGACAGAGGGCAGGTCGAAGGATGGGGTGAACTCATCCCGTACTGGATGGGATCTCCCCACCCCATCACAGGTGCCAAAAAAAATTAAGTTAAAATGTATTTACTAGTATGTTCTTTGGACTGTTTGTCAGGTGCTGTTTTCATAACTGAATAAAACCCTTTTATTTCTGAATGAGATTCATCTTTATTAGTTTACAACACATGGTGTACAGTGCCTGCTGGTGTTGTCAGTTAGCTTGCATGTGTGTATGTCCTTTCCACGGGCTGTCCAGCTCTGCGCAGAGAGCTGATTCAGCCGACCTCAATAGTCTTACCCAGCCCAACGCTGTTCAGGCTGCTCAGTGCTTCTGTCCCTCAAGCTTCGATGTTATTAGTAGATAGTACAGCATGTTAATTCAGCAGACCTTGATGTTACTCATAAAGAAAGACCACAGGCACAGTTCAGTGGCAAGGGTGCTCGACCAAGTTGATTGTAAACAGAGCATGGTCCTAGTGCCCTGGCTCCGTGGTTACAGATACAGTAACACAAGTATGACCGGTTTCAGAGTAACAGCCGTGTTAGTCTGTATTCGCAAAAAGAAAAGGAGTACTTGTGGCACCTTAGAGACTAACCAATTTATTTGAGCATGAGCTTTCGTGAGCTACAGCTCACTTCATCGGATGCATACCGTGGAAACTGCAGCAGACTTTATATACACACAGAGAATATGAAACAATACCTCCTCCCACCCCACTGTCCTGCTGGTAATAGCTTATCTAAAGTGATCATCAAGTTGGGCCATTTCCAGCAGGACAGTGGGGTGGGAGGAGGTATTGTTTCATGATCTCTGTGTGTATATAAAGTCTGCTGCAGTTTCCACGGTATGCATCCGATGAAGTGAGCTGTAGCTCACGAAAGCTCATGCTCAAATAAATTGGTTAGTCTCTAAGGTGCCACCAGTCCTCCTTTTCTTTTTACAAGTATGACCATTACAGTGGACTCAGCTCAGACAGCAGCGGGACATTTCGCTGCCCCCTCGGCTGGACAAAGGGTTAAGGCCAAGTACCCTGCCATTTACAGGCTGAGGCAAACAACTGGAATACACAACACACACACAACCTTACGTATTTCATGACCTCTGTTTGTTACCTCCCCTTGTTCCTGATATCTCGGACAAAACATCCCGATTCATTGGTCTGTCAAACCACCTCCTCTTGTACTAGTTTGGGATGTAGCTGTACTAGCTGGAATATATTTACGTAAACAGCAAGTGCTTAGTGCACAAGCACAAACTTTGCCAAGTTCATGTACTGGACAGAGAACTTGTCAGCATCCGCTTTCCTACATGGTCTGAAGTTGTTTCATGGCCTCTGATCCTGCACCAGGCCCGGTGCTCCAGGCTCTCTCTCTCTTCCTACTACGGTTGGCAGTGAAAGTAATGGTCTTGTACGCTCACAGCCCATAGGACGGACCAGTGTCATAAATATACAGCAGGTATGTGATGGTGCACCCCTCTCATGAGTGCCTCTTGTCGGTCGGTGCAACCTGCACTCTCTGCTCATGGTGTCCCCTGCTAGCTGTTGCCCTCGTCAGGTGAGGCCTCAGCCCTCCAGCTGAGTCACACACAGTCTAAACACATGAAGGAATCCCTTCCAAGGTAATAGGTCCAACAGGGCCTGTCTCTGTGCCCTTGAGGGCTCTGTCCTCAGCCCCTTCTGGGCTAGCTTTAAGTTCGCGTCTGCCCTGGTATAGAGCCGTGCCCCCAGGGCTTCCTCGCTGGAGACTCTTTAAGTCCCGCCCTTCATTTGGGCTTCTAAACAAGCCTTATCTCTTTCCTGGGGCTTAGGCCACCCTGCCAGTGGCCAGGGGGTGGGGGAACTTGGGCCCACCCACTAATCCACTAATCCAGGACCCAGGGTCCTATAATTAGCAGCCAAGTGCTGCTTCCTGTAATAGCTGCTGCTGCTATTCCCTGGGCCACTTCCTGTGTAGCCCCTTCCTCTTCACCCTTACTCAGGGCTGAAGATCTCGACTCCTCTCTTTCCTCACCCTTCTGGTCCCAGCCGGCAACTGACCTGCTCAGGCCCAGCAGCTCCTTTAAACAGAGCCTGCTGTGCTCTGGCTGCTTCCCTGAAGCCTTTCTAGGCAAGTCTGGAGAACCCGCCTTCACTGCCTCTTTCCTGGAGTGGGGTGTGGTAGCTGTACTATCATTGATATATGCACAGAAGTGCTGGAAGCACCAAAACTGTTCCCAGTAGGTTCCCAAATTGCAGCACCAGGTTGAGCACAGTAGCCACAGCACGTTACTGTGGCTTGCCGTCAAAGTGCTCTTTCAAAGCCTCCCCAAGCCATATACCTCCTCGTTCAGCTCCGTCCAATAGCCCTTATGTCTGTCTGTTCAAACTCAGCAGACAGCCGCCCCACCTCCACCCTTGTGGCAAGTTCTCCCCCTTTGCCTCACAAATATTATGCAGGATGCAGCAGGCAATTATAACCATTGGCATGTTTTGACATTCTTTGGTGAACCAGCATGTACATACCAGAATCAGGAGATTCCTGTAATCCCTCTGTACCCCCTTGTCAGTCGGTATTATGAGGTTCTTGGGTCTGCCATCTAGTAACGGATCAGTACCATTGTTAGGATGCTTTTGGTTCCTAATATACTTTAAAAAAACCTCTTTCATATGGTCCTTAAGGACTCTGCTGACCGTAGATTTCTCCTTGTGTCCCTTTGCTTCCCTTATCAAATTTCTACAATTCTTAGCTTCTGATTTTTTTTTTACTATCAACTTCTCCATTCTTGCATTTGTTATTTTTAATTTTTTATAGCTGGTTTCACTTCCCTCTAAACCAGGTCAAAATTTTAACCAATATGGCCTTCTCCCTCAATTGTGGCTTTTAGGGTCTCTAGTTAAGTGTTCTTAAACAATTACCAATTATCATTCACATTTTTCTGGTTAAATTGTTCCTCCCAGCTGATTTGGCTCATAACTGTTTTCAGCTTTGTGAAACTGGCCCTCTTAAAGCACCTAGTATCTATATCACTGTTCTGGTCTTTATTCCGTATGCACGTTCTAAATGTGATCCAGTCATGATCACTTATAACTCAATTACCATTAATTTTTAGCTCTATAATCAGTTCCTCTTTATCTGTCAAGAGAAGATCTAACAGAATCCCCCATGCTGGAAGCAATACTTCTTGTATTAGGAAATTGTCATCTATAATATTTAGAAATTCTAAAGATGTTTTAGTATTGGCAGCATGAGACATCCAGCATGTGTCACTCAAATTGAAGTCCCCTATGATCACTCAACATTTTTTCCCTACACATTACTGATAGGCATGCAAGGAGCTGGTCATCCTGTTGCCTAGTGTGATTTGGTGCTCTGTAGAAGACAGCAACTAATACCCCATCTTGTGCTTTATCTGTTAGGACATGGATCCATAAGCATTCAAGGTCATTTTCTTGGGAGTTTCAGTGACTTGGAAACAAGTAATACCATTTTTGATATACAGTGCCCCCCCTTGCCCATTTTATCTTTTCTAAATACGTTATAACCATTGATTTTAACATTCCAGTCACGGGACTCATCTCAGCCGGTTTCAGTAATACCAGCCAGATCCAATCGATGCTAATAAATGAGCGATTCCCATTCTTCTTGTTTCTTACCCAAATTTGTTTGTGACAAATGGCCACTGTTCCCAAGTCTCACAACTCCAGTTAATTCCAGACATCCCCCCTCTGGACAGAGATCGCCCATGATGAATGGTGGGAGGAAAGGAGCTTTCTTCATAAAGTCAGAGGAGGAGAGGGCCAAACCAGGTATCCAAATTTAGCGGTGTAGTCTCGACTGCAATTCCCCTTGTGACAAAGTGGGAACGTTTTTAATGTTTTCTCTGAATACTGTGTGGGTGCCTCAGTTTCCCCTATGCAGTTCTTAAGTATGTAGGTGGTGGGATAAGCTGTGTGATTGTTGCAGAGCCTTCGAGGGCCAGTGTGATGCTGTCTGCACAGAGAATGGCCGACACCCTGTCTCCTGGCAACTGACGACCTGGGCCCCTCCTCCGCAAAGGTGCCAACTGAAGGTGTTGGAGAACAAAGAGATCAGGTGGTCTCCTGGCCCAGGGAAAGAGACAAAGGCGAGAGGAGGGGCTGAAGAGTTCAGTTTTGGAGCTGGCTGGGGAAAGAGAGGGAGGCTCAGACCTGGGGTCTGGCCTCCCTGCCCCCAAGATGGATCTGACTTAGGGGTCCTGTTTCCTGTACCTACAAGCTCTGTTTTGGACTGTGTTCCTGTCGACTAATAAACCTTCTGTTTTACTGGCTGGCTGAGAGTCACGTCTGACTGTGGAGTTGGGGGGCAGGGCCCACTGGCTTCCCTAGGAGCCCCGCCTGTGCGGACTTGCTGTGGGAAGCACATGGTGTAGAAGGGGATGTCCCCTAATGGAGACATTTCTATCTCCTGACTCAAGTTCAGAGGAGGGGAATTCTTTGTGCGCTCAGCACTCTATGCTTCCACTTGCACAACCAGAATTTCTACCTAAACTCCAGCTAATTATTTCCTTTGAGTGTTGTCAGGTGTTTGTCATACAATTCCCCAGAGGGAAAACAAAGAAGGTGTAATAGTAATTAAAAGACGCCAGCTTGAGACTATGTATAAATTCAGAAGCACAGCAGAAACATGAAAGGAACCGTAAGTTAGGCCAGAGAAGAAAGACTGAAGAGAAGCAAAGCTCACTGGATGTATTCAGAGGCAGAGAGACACCTGACACCAAAGTCTAAGGTAGGCGCACACAGCAGCTACTCCGTCAAGGAGTCCCTGCTAATTTTATAATACATTATTTGGAGAATGGGAGAGGATTGAGTGAGAGACACAAAACTCTGCTCAATGGGCCAGGAAAGATTCCTTGATGTTTCCCATCCCAGAGCTACTCCTGGGGACCTTCTGGCCACCCATAAGGATCTACTTGAGGAACCAAGCATAGGTAGTTTCTAAATTATCCCACAATGACTTTAGTTTGCTTGAAGTGTCTTAAGTAATTGTAATATCTCCCTGCTGAACAGGAGAATCATGAGACTCTGTTCATTCATGTTTGTGAAATGTTTTCAGCGCCTGGGATGGAAGAAGCTAAAGATATGGAGGCCTAGATACCTTAGGGCTGCAAAAATCAGGCCCTATCTCCCAGAGGCTACTGCAGCCGTACTGGGAGATTTAGGGTGCTAACAGTCTGGCAGCGCAGTGTTGCTCCTGGAAGCAGCCAGCACTGTCCCTGTGGCTCCTGGGGGTTGGGGGCAGGGGGTCTCCGTGCGCTGCCCCCACCCCGATTGCTGACTGCGCAGTTCCCATTGGCCTGCATCCAAACTCCCTCCCAGAGCCCACACCCGGCACTCCCTCCTGCACCCCAATCCCCTGCCCCAGGCTCAGCCCGGAGCCACCTTCTACACTCCAAACTCCTCAGTCCCAGCCCGGAGCCCGCGCCCTCTCCCGCACCTCAACCCTGGTGAAAGTGAGTGAGGGTTGGGGAGAGAAAGTGATGGAAGAAGGGGGTTGGAGTGAACGGAGGCGAGGCCTTGGAGAAAGGGCGAGGCCTTGGGGGAAGGGGTGAGGCAACGGTGTTTGGGTTTGTGCCATTAGACAGTCAGCAACCCTGGATACCATTGTGAATGGTCGCCTGCAAATACCAGAGAGAGACAAGAGCAAATGTTATTTTCCGGTGCCAGAATCCAAACCCCAGTCACCTGCCGGATGGTAGCAGCACTTTGGAGACTCACGATGGAAGCATTTTCTGTTCAGCTTCCTTAGTTAGCAGTTTTGTGGAAGTTATTTGCTTATTTGCACTTGGAAATTTGATGTTTAGTGTTTTTCTGGCATTTTCTTTTCTGAAGATGCTGCTTTCTGTCTGACCTTGATAATGAGCCGGTAATGCTTTCCTGGAATGTATGCCCCGGCAAACTCACCTCTGATTAGAGGAATACTTGAAATACACAAGTGCTTAACAACTGGGAGAGTGGCAGGAGAAAGGGGGCTTCTTGGTAACAGGTCAATCAACAGAATTAGTTTAGCATCTCTGGTTTTCCCGATTTCAGCCCAGTTGAACAGTGCGTGTGAACCTACTCCCAGTTCAGACTGAGACAACAGGAAACTGGTCAGAGAAGGTTTCAGGGTGCTGATGCAATTCACACACAACACATGGGTGGAGGCTACAAGGAGGAATGTGTCACAGCAATCTGATCAGCAAAGCATCACAGCCCATTTGTCTGGTTTTAAGATGTACAGTCTTGTTTTAGAATAGTCTGTCCCCTGACCAGTACTTATAAAACCAGAGGTGGTTATTACACACAGAGAAGGTCGTTTTGTGCAAGGCACCACATGCTCCCAATAACTTGACCCTGCACCCATGAACAGAGGTGGTGGGGTCACGCAGGCGGAAGAAGCAGTATAAAGGGAATGTCCCGGGGATGCATAAGTGGACACGCTAAATCCAGCAGAGCAACAAACCTGCATGCCCAGTCCTGTCAGTGTCCTGCAGTTCAGCCCTATTAGTGTGTCCCACAGCTCAGAGCCCCCCAGCACCGCTGTCCCTGTCAGTGTGTCCCACAGCTCAGAGCCCCCCAGCACCGCTGTCCCTGTCAGTGTGTCCCACAGCTCAGAGCCCCCCAGCACCGCTGTCCCTGTCAGTGTGTCTCATGGCTCAGAGCCCCCCGCAGTACCGCCGGCCCTGTGAGTGTGTCCCACAGCTCAGCCTCCCGAAGCAACTCTTGCCCTGTCCATATTTCACCCCCAGAGTGCAGCACCCCCACAATCAGCCCAATATGTTCAGTGATATTCCTCCTACAGCTCCGAGCCACCAATTATCCTCCTGTTTCTATATCCCTGACACAATCACACAGGAGAAATGCCAGTGTGTGGCTGGCTGTCGCCTCTATGGAACATTCAGTGTGGGGGTTGAGGAGTGGGTCTTTGTGGTGGGTATCCAGCAGATCTAGGATCTTAAGGTGCCGAGATCCAGAGCTCAGGATTGGCAATCATCTATCATTAAAGTTAGAGCTCAATTTGAATATCCGGGTGTCAGGAAACAGGGCGTTGGCCATTCTCTGTGTCCAGACCCCTGCACACACCTGCCCTCTAGGGCTCTGCAATGATCATACACCCTTATCCCACCACCTAGATACTTAAGAACTGCATAGGGGAAACTGAGGCACCCCCACAATATTCTGAGAAAACATTAAGAACAGTCCCACTTCGTCACATCTCTCCCCCTTTCGAGCCCGAACTGAGCGAGGTCACTTTAGCCAGTGACCTGGGGAAGTTCGACCCCACCGAAGTTTCCATGGATGCCCCAACATCTCTCCCATTCCTTAGCATCGGCTTGTATCAGCCCCGCACCCAGCCCTGTGTCTGAGGCATCGGTGAACACTATAAAGGCCTTGGCAAAGTCTGGGTTTACCAGATTTACCAGGCCCTGGATTAGAGCCTCCTTCAATGCACAGAGAGCCCCCTGGCACTGCTTGGTCCAGACCAGTTCGTCTGGCTTCCCCTTCTTACATAGCTTAGTGATGGGGGCAGCTAGGGAGCTCCAGCGGGGTACAAACCTCCGGTAGTACCCCGCCATCTCAGGTTCACTTTTACAAGCTGTGCTCTCAAAGTTCTGTTGTCCTTCCCTTACCAACCTCTGCTTCCACAAGGAACTAGATGTTAAATTCACTGAGAGACTACAAGTCCTATCCAAAGTGTCTAGAGATGAGAGTAGACCTGCCATCCCCTGCATTCTCTAGAGATTAACTACCCAGCTGTTCTGCTCTGCAGACTCAGCTACCCAGTCTTCCCTCTCGCTGGCTGAGCCAGGGGTCACAGCTCTGCTGAGCCCTGTCCCTGGTCGCTCCATCCTTGCCGTGGACTCACTTCCCAGCAGCGCCTCTGGACCAGGGAAACCTGGTTGGCAGCCGACCTGCCCTGCCTGTGTCTCCCCCCATGCTCAGCGCTGCCCTCGCTGTCCCAGTGGAGGAAAGCAGCGAGCTGCATCAGAGCCAGCGTGAGCCCCCTCTCCGGTGTGCAAGGGGGCAGGGAGCATCTCTCTGTCCCACCCAGCCTCAGGGGGCTGGTTACAGGCAGGCAGGTATCCTGAGCCTAGCAGCTCCTCCCTCATGCCAGCCAGGTTATTTGCATTTTCACTGACAATTTCCATCTTAGCCAGTTGGTTCCCTGGATTCAAATTCAAATCCTTGGCTGTTACAGGAACAGGGTCTGGATCCGATCCCAAACAGACAGTCACCCCGCAACAGGGTCTCACAGCTAATACTCTGGAGAACCCCAACGACCAGCAAGCCCAACCCCTCCTATGTCTGCACAGGGATCTGGGCCATAGGATTCCTCCCCCCCACCACCCCCCCAATCTATCCCACCCACCCTCCAATCTCCCCCACACCCCCATACCACACCTCCACTCCCACTATCACCCCAACCCACACAACATATAGTGCAGCCACCTCCCCACCCATCTTACAGATATCACAACATCCCCCCTTTCAACACCCCAACAGATCACCCCCCCCCTTACACCATACCTCATCCCCCACCCCCCACCCCTCCCACCCCCCCCCCCCCCATTCATCTCTTCACCTCCCACACCTCCCCCACCCACCCCTCCCCCCCGATCCCTCTCATCCCCCTCCACTCTCCAATTCCCATTTAACTTCCACCCCCCACTCATACTTTACTCAATCCACCCCCTTAACCCACCTTCACTTCCCATCCCACCCCCACACTCCAAACCCACCACCCTTCCACCCCCCCACCCCCCCCTCCCAATCTACCCTCCACCCCCCCACCCCCCCCCCCTCCCTCTCCCACCCCATCCCCCCCCCTCCCACACCCCCCCCTCCCACCCCCTCTCCCCCACCCTCACCCACCCCCCCCCCCACAACATTCCCCCCCCCCCCCCCCTTCCATCCCCCCCACCCCCCAAAAAAACCCAACCCCCCCCATACCCACAAAAACAAAAAAACACCCCCCCCCCCCCCCCCGGGTGAAGGACTCACTCCCGCCCCACCCCCCCCGGCTTTTTGAAAAAAAAAAAGAAAAAAAAAAGGCCAAAGGCAGCCCACACCACACCCCCCCGCGGGGGGGAGGAGGGAAAAGAAAAAGGGAAAAACGAAAACCCAAGGGGGAAGGAACCATAAAAGGAGGGACCGGCCTTTTGTAATTCCAAGAGCTTTTGGCCCATGTAACAACCCAAATTTTTAAAAATATTTTTACACCTAGTGAAGAATAATTTCTAATTCCAAAACATGAGAGAACCAACATGGGGTGAGGCTGACCTGATTTTACAACACAGTAGATGTGAGGATGGGAGGGACTTTGGGGCTGGCAATCATAAACTCGTCACATTTGTGCTTCAAAGAACAGTTCCAGAATCAGTGGGCAGGACTAGACATAGATTCATACATTCAGTTATTATAAGGCCAGAAGGGACCGTTGTGATCATCTAGTCTGACCCAATGTTCCCTCTAATTTTTTACATCCATGTGCGGAATTAATTTTGTTATGCGCACCTATATGGAGGTGGTGTGGTGGGGGTGGGGCCGAGGGGTTCAGAGTGTGGGAGGGGGCTCCGGGCTGTGGCAGAGGGTTGGAGTGTGTTGGGGGAGTTAGGGCTCTGGCTGGGGGTGCAGACTCTGGGGTGGGGCTGGGGATGAGGGGTTTGGAGTGCAGGCTGCCCTGGGGCTGCAGTGGGGAGAGAGGACTCCCCTCAGCCCTCTCCCCAGCTGTGGCAGCTCTGGGGCCAGGGCCTGAACCGGGGGCAGAGGCGCCTCTCCCCACTGCGCACCTGTGCAGCCCTCGATAGCCTGCTGCGTGGTCGTGCAGCTTAGAGGGAATTTAGGTCTGACCACCTGTATAACGGAGTCCATAGGACTTCCGTGAATCAAGCTCTGTTTGAACTAGAACATATTTTGGGTCCAAGCTGTGGATTTCACAGCTAGATACCGATTCTTTCTTGAATCTGTACAGATTTCCAGGATTGTTCAGGTCAAGGGTTATGAGTCAAAGCCATGACAGATATGGCCTCAGTTGTGAGGTTTGGTTCTGACTCCCAATCAGAATATAGTCTTTCCCAAATTGGAAGGGTTAGATGTTGTGTACTGCATCCAGCCCATCTCTAATTAGGAGACTACCTCTTAAGTCGATGTAACTTATGTCACTCAGGGGTGTGAAAACAACACCCCGCTTAGTGATGTAAATTACATCTACTTAAAGCCGGGTGTCCACACCACACTGTGATGGTGGGAGACCCTCTCCCACCAACATAGCTTCTGCTTCTCGCACTCTCCCATTGGCACAACGCGTCCTCACCAGATGCACCAGATGCGCTGCGCAGACTTGCCCCAAACCTGAACTCATACATGCAAGCCATCCCCGAGGGTGGCCACAGGGGCTTCTCCAGAGCTGTTTACAATTCCAGGCACAAGCAACCCTACTGCTTGTCATTCTTGTAGGAGCACAATCAGACTGAAACTATTCATAAATGTCACACAATGGTCCCCACAGACAGTGCACTGTCACTGTATTATTATTATCTATTATTAATTCTTACAGTAATACATAGGAGCCCCAGACGTCGACCACACCCCACGGCCCTAGGCATGGTCCAAAACACCGAACCAAAAGATGATTCCTGCTCTATGAGCAGCTAAGAATAAGACAAGAGACAATAACTGGAGACAGACAGAGAGAGGGGGGAGCACAAGGAAAAATGAGACGACACTCCTCAGGAAGAGAAGCCGCAATAGCATCTGCCTGTTAGCTGCCAACCTGGCTTACACTGCTGTTTGCAGCTGCACCCAGTATGTATCATTTGGAAATGTAATTGCTATGATTTCACCCCTTCCCCCAATCTCTGGGTGTGTCTACACGTCGAGCTGAGGCCGTAATTCCTTGCTCTAGGAGGCAGACCCTCGGTAACTCTGATTGAATTAATGCACTAAAAATACCACGTAGCCACAGCGGTGCAAGAGGCAGGAGGGGCTAGCCACCCAAGTACATACCCATCCAAGACTCTAGCCACGTACTCGGGCGGCTAGCCGCTCCTTTCTGCTCATTCGGCCACAGCTACAGTCTAGTTTCAGCATGCTAGCTTGATCAGAGCAGGTATGTTTTCTCAAGCCAGAAATTACACCCACATCTCGAAGTGAAGATGTACCCAAAATACATGTTACCAGGCCCAACACTGACACTTGCTAGGCCCCTCCCACCCAACTCAACACACTGTTCTCAATCCCTTCAGAGCTGGCTCTTTAGCCAGTTTGCAGAGCATGGGGCAGTACACACAGCTGACCCAGTCTGAATTCACATTGCCGGTAGGATTTCGTGAGGAGAGGTATCAAATACTTTGTTAAAACCTAGTTTTATTCTAGCTACTGCCTTCCCTTCATGCCGTCATACTGTAGTTCCGTCACAATCTAGTTTATGTGTAGGGCCCGACCAATTTCACAGCATGAAAAACATGTCACGGACCGTGAAATCTGATCTCCCCTGCTGCTGGGAGCCCAGGGCTCTTAGTTGCTAGTCTGGACATGCTGGGGAGGGACACGAGTTGCCCTTCCCCTACATGGCTGCTCTTGGTGAGGAAATCAGACCCACCTCCAGAAGCAGCATAGAAATGAGGGTGGAACACCCTCACTTCTGCGCTGCAGCACGGCTCTGGGCATCCGTTCCCTCCCCCCTCTCCCCGTGGCTCCTGCCGCAGCTCCCAGCGCCAAGGCCTGGGCTTCCTCCCCCAGCAGCTCCTGCCAGGCTGGGGGCTTTTGCTCCCGGCGGCTGCAGCTGGAACAGCCCGGGCTCTGGCCTTCTGCCCCACTACACACACACCTTGCGACTCCTGCCATGGCTCCGGGCACCGAGCTCAGGGCTTCCTTCCCCGGTGGCTCCCGGGGCTGGAGGCTTCCACTTCTGCCAGCTGCAGCTGGAGCAGCACGGGCTTAGGGTCTCCCTGCACTCCAGCCAGGGCTTGGGGCAACCCAGCCTGGGGGCTTCCACCCCCCAACCAAGGCAGCCCAGGCTCTGAGCTTCTGCTCCCTGTCACTCTGGCTGGGGCAGCTGGGGCTTAGGGCACCCACCACCACTCCAGCCGGGTCAGCCCGGGATCGGGACTTCTGCGCTCTCCCCCGGACAGCTTCTGCCACTGCTTCGGGCTTCCTCCACCAGCGTCTCCAGCCAGGGCAGCCCGGGCTCAGGACTTCTGCCCCCTGCTGCCCAAGCCGGAGCTCGGGGCAGCCCAGGCTCGGGGCTTCCACACGTGCACACACACCCCAGCCAGGGCTTGGGGCAGTCTGAGCTGAGGCTTCCGCCCTGGGGCTTTTTCTGGGGCTGGGGCACCCATTTTTCCAGGGGACCCGCCCAGATTGGCCGGGGACCCCTGCCTTCATCTGTCACTGGCTTGGACTAGCAGCTAGGAGCCCCTGGCTGGGGCTCTTCCAGCAGCATAGGGAAGATCCTACTACCCACCTCCACCTCCAGGAACCTACTCTAACTGCAGGAAGCTCAGAGGCTGCTGCCTAGGCAGCACAGAAGTGAGGGTGGCAATCTTGGGACCCCCCTGCACAACACTTTGCAACACCCCCCCCACACATACACACACACAATCCCGTTTTGGGTCAGGACCCCCATGGTTACAACAGGGTGAAATTTCAGATGTAAACATCTGAAACTGTGAAATTGATCAATTTAAAACCCTCTGGCCGTGACTATGGTGGGGCCCTATTTACATGTTAACCCTGTAATGCTACTTATTGCTCCGTCAGCCCCGCCCAGCTCACAGGCTTTTCCTTTATATATGTGTCCATTACTGATTAGGGACTAAAGGCAGCTATTAAACTAATTGCCAGGATTGTTCTTTTCCCCAGTCCTCTGCCTACCTGGAAAATCTTGCGGACAGATCTCCTGATCTAACACCAATGAGTTGTAAGGATGAAGAAAACTGCTGCTTAGAACATGTTGAGGAACCTCCTGGAGTGGAATGTAAAGGCTCGAAGGGGCAGATCAACTTCATGGATCAGGAAACCAACAGCCAAGGTACATCAGGATGCAGATATGCTGTAATGCCGTGTCTCTGTTGTGTTTGGGAAATGGGAGTCCAGGAGAAAGCTGAGTGACTTTACATGCTTTGGCCGTCATGTGCAAGAGCCTATCCATTAGCATCAACTTTTCAGACTCTTTGTTTCTTCTCATTACTATTTATATGTCTTACCCTCAGTGCCAGAAAAAGCAAAGGCAAAGTTTGCAATCAGGAGAAGATCACAATACAGGCAGGGGCTTGGGGACAGGATGAGGGCAAAGATGGTACGAATGGGTCCTTGCCTGCGTATCTAGGGAGTTTTCCTTTCTTCCTTTTGTAAACTGCTCCAAGTCTGGAGGAGTGATTGCGACTCCGCAGTGCAGGCTCCACCAAGGTTTCTGTTTAAAGCTGATTTTTCAAATTGCTCTAAAATCCACATCCATAGGTAGATTGCCTTGAAAATAGCCATGCCGCCCTAAAATTTGTGGTGCAGATTTAGGGTCATTTGACCAGGGAGTTCCCAAGATACGGGGCCTCCAAACCTCATCCTCTTCTAACAACACATTGTGCAGAGGGATTCAGAGACAACAGAGGGGAAGATCCAAACGTATATCCCCGGACTGCCCTTGCGGTGATCTAGTGCCCACACCAGGCTCAGCTCCAAACAGTCATTATTAAAAGTTACTAGTTGTTTGGGTAACTTCTGCTGAGCAAACCACTTTTGGCTTGGGCTGTGAGCTGGCTCCACGCTGAACTCCACATAGTTACCAGCTTAACAAGCAACCTACAGAATATCCTCTCGCCTTGGGGAAAGTCCACTGGCCTTGGAGACTGTGAGTTTGATTGTCCTTCTACTGCCAACTGTTAGCTGTGAAGTAAACAGAAAGATTCTTTTTATCCAATACGATCTTGTATTCCCAAAGGAAGGCAAGCACCAGTCCCAGATTTTGCAGAGAAGAGATTTTGCAAGGTCAGTTGAGGGAGAGTTAGGACTAGAATCCAGGGATGACAGTCCCTAGACTTAGCCCACTTAGCCACACTGCCTTTTGCAATGCATGGGCTAGATCAGCTAGTCGCCTGTGACTGAATATCAAAGTAATGCTTGTGTACAGTGAACAAGAGAAGGGCTGCAAATATGATTCTGTGGTGAAGAGACTGGATTGGGATACAGAACCCCGGCGTACTGCTGCAGATTATTTATGTGATGTTGGGCAAATCACTTAAACCACAATCTTTCTGAGGTCTGTTTAAAGACACCCACACTGTGGAGCACACTTCAGTTCTGTGCCTGATTCCCCATTTGACCGTATCCAAGTTATTTAAACTTTCTGTGCTCAGTTTCCCAGCTACAGTCTGTTTTGGCTGACAGTTTAGGAGACAATTTTGGCTGATTCGGCACTAAGAAGCCCTCTGAGGTTTTGTAGAATCCATGTTCATGCTCGGTCACCCTCTACTTTGGTGGGAGGGGAGTTTTGACTTTAGCAAAGCTTTTGACACGGTCTCCCACAGTATTCTTGTCAGCAAGTTAAGGAAGTATGGGCTGGAAGAATGCACTATAAGGTGGGTAGAAAGCTGGCTAGATTGTCGGGCTCAACGGGTAGTTATCAATGGCTCCATGTCTAGTTGGCAGCCGGTATCAAGTGGAGTGCCCCAAGGGCCGGTCCTGGGGCCGGTTTTGTTCAATATCTTCATAAATGATCTGGAGGATGGTGTGGATTGCACTCTCAGCAAATTTGCGGATGATACTAAACTGGGAGGAGTGGTAGATACGCTGGAGGGGAGGGATAGGATACAGAAGGACCTAGACAAATTGGAGGATTGGGCCAAAAGAAATCTGATGAGGTTCAATAAGGATAAGTGCAGGGTCCTGCACTTAGGACGGAAGAACCCAATGCACAGCTACAGACTAGGGACCGAATGGCTAGGCAGCAGTTCTGCGGAAAAGGACCTAGGGGTGACAGTGGACGAGAAGCTGGATATGAGTCAGCAGTGTGCCCTTGTTGCCAAGAAGGCCAATGGCATTTTGGGATGTATAAGTAGGGGCATAGCGAGCAGATCGAGGGACGTGATCGTTCCCCTCTATTCGACATTGGTGAGGCCTCATCTGGAGTACTGTGTCCAGTTTTGGGCCCCACACTTCAAGAAGGATGTGGGTAAATTGGAGAGAGTCCAGCGAAGGGCAACAAAAATGATTAGGGGTCTGGAACACATGAGTTATGAGGAGAGGCTGAGGGAACTTGGGATGTTTAGTCTACGGAAGAGAAGAATGAGGGGGGATTTGATAGCTGCTTTCAACTATCTGAAAGGGGGTTCCAGAGAGGATGGTTCTAGACTGTTCTCAATGGTAGCAGATGACAGAACAAGGAGTAATGGTCTCAAGCTGCAGTGGGGGAGGTTTAGATTGGATATTAGGAAAAACTTTTTCACTAAGAGGGTGGTGAAACAGTGGAATGCGTTACCTAGGGAGGTGGTAGAATCTCCTTCCTTAGAGGTTTTTAAGGTCAGGCTTGACAAAGCCCTGGCTGGGATGATTTAACTGGGAATTGGTCCTGCTTCGAGCAGGGGGTTGGACTAGATGACCTTCTGGGGTCCCTTCCAACCCTTATATTCTATGATTCTATGATTCTGGGGAGCAGCAGGCCTGGGGGATAATGTATTTTTAGGTTGTAGCCAGGGTAAGAAGCAACAGGAGTTCTGCTATCTCATCCCCTCATTGGGAACCTTGCAGGCTGTATCTGGGCATGTGAACCTCCTGGGGTTTGCGGGTGTGAACACCTGTGGTTTGTGGGCACTGACAAAACAGGGAAGGCAGAGTTACAGCCCCAGAGCTGCCAAGTTCTGTGCAGCTCCATGTGCAACGTTGTATGCTAATCAGTCAATGAACTAATTTGTACATAACCATAAACTCTGGCTTTATGAAAGCTGTGTGGATTTAGTGCTCATGCAGTCCTCGTGAGTGAAACCCTCGGTTTTTCTACAGGGGAGGAGAAAGGCAAGCTTCCCACACAAATGGCCCTCCCAGTGTGCCCCATCCCTGATCTGGGGGTACTTCCTTTAAGGATCACAAGGTTGATCACTCCCCATGGCCCCGGCAGTTCTTGGCCTCTCTGCTGAGTCTGCAAATTGGTACAGAGCCCAGTGGTGAGTTTGGAGGTGGAACTGATGGGGGGAGTATTCAATTGATGCCTGGGTCCAGCGGTTCCTCCCCCTTAATTGAAGGGGAGAACCTTTAATTTTGGGCGGGCCTACACTCACCCATCCCCAGTACTTCAAATTATACAAACCCTGTAACAGAGCTGCCCTGTCCTCTTCTTAAAGGGACAGCTCCCATTAACCAAAACACAGACACTACAAATGCAACAATAAAATGAACACTAACACAACATCCAAATTCCCCACTTAATAATACACTTTGTAACATGAAGTCATTTTAAGAATTATTCCCAGGCCTTCACAGTAGCTTACAGAGACTTTCATGAGTTATCATCAAGGTTCAAACCACAACTGCACAGCATAGACAGCCTACACTTCTATGCTAGGTTTCAGAGTAGCAGCCGTGTTAGTCTGTATCCGCAAAAAGAACAGGAGGACTTGTGGCACCTTAGAGACTAACCAATTTATTTGAGCATGAGCTTTCATGGGCTACAGCCTACTTCATCGGATGCATAGAATGGAACATGTAGTAAGAAGATAGATATATACACATATATACAGAGAACATGAAAAGGTGGAGTAAGAGGCTAATTAGTTAAGATGAGCTATTATCAGCAGGAGAAAAAAAACGTTTGTAGTGATAATCAAGATGGCCCATTTAGACAGTTGACTAGAAGGTGCGAGGATACTTAACATGGGGAAATAGATTCAATATGTGTAATACCCAGCCACTCCCAGTCTCTATTCAAACCCAAGTTAATGGTAGCTAGATTGCATATTAATTCAAGCTTAGTGGGTGATGCAGTCCAGAGAAAGTGACACCACGATCGGAGAACTAGCTGTTGGGTACCAGGGTTCTTGGGCTTTGCTTGTGGCAGCAGAATATGTTCCAGTGGTTAGAGACAAGATAGTTAAATCTGCAGTAACACCACCCTTTTTTGGGCCATTTGCAGGAACTGAAGCTAGGATCTCTAGATCTAAAAGCCTGAGCTTTTACCACAAGCCCTTCTAGTGACTGTTTTTAATACTTCTATGCACTGTGCAATCCTTATTGAAAGGGCCTCATTTCCTGGCCATAAGGAAAACATTTCATTCTCCATCTTACAGATAACATAAGTAATAGGTTGGATAGGCAGAACTGAGATTAGAACCCATGTCTCTAAAATGAGAACCCACAATCTTTACTGTCCTGCCTTTCAGGTGAAATGGGCCAAATTATCTCCTTATGTAACCCATGCTAAAACCATGTGTATCTTTGTCCCTCCCTAGTGGCTAGGGGACATATAGAGGGTTTTGAGTCTGTTTCTGCCATTCCCAATAGCAAAGAGGCAGTGAGAGACTAATGGTTCATGAACCTCTAGAACAGCCGCTCTTGGAACTGTCTCTCCTGTTCCTGTTGGGTCACAGCCTGGGCTTGCTGTCTGTCCGGAAATTGTAGTGACACCTGATGCTGCAGAGTCTGGGCATGACTGTTCCATCATCCTTTCCGGATGTCACCCACTCTCCTCCTCCTCCTTTGTGCAGAGACATTTTGAACACAAACCCCACCGTTGACACCTTATGTGAGCAAGAGCCTTTCTCAACTTCAGCCACCGTGGGTTTGGTTTTATTAATGAAGACATTAATAGCAGGATATCTGTGGGTTCAGCTGTAACCTCCCTCAGCTCACACTCCAGATCCCCTCACTCCAGAGACCCCTCCAAATGGGGTAATAAACCACCTGTTGACTCATCAAGACAGCACTCCGAATCACGCCCTGCTAACAGGATGGGAAACATTGCCAGCCAGCACTGGGGAGCAGAGTAACCATATATTTGGCCTGATGATGATATTGGTATGACATTCATTTAGATCAGTGGTTCCCAAACTTGTTCCGCCGCTTGTGCAGGAAAAGCCCCTGCTGGGCTGGGCCGATTTGTTTACCTGCCGCGTCCGCAGGTTCGGCTGATGGCAGCTCCCAGTGGCTGCGGTTCGCTGCTCCAGGCCAATGGGAGCTGCTGGAAGCGGCGGCCAGTACGTCCCTCAGCCCGCACCACTTCCAGCAGCTCCCATTGGCCTGGAGCAGCGAACCGCGGCCACTGGGAGCCGCGATCAGCCAAACCTGCAGACGCAGCAGGTAAGCAAACCGGCCTGGCCCGGCAGGGGCTTTCCCTGCATGAGTGGCGGAACAAGTTTGGGAACCACTGATCTAGTAGCTGCTCCTAGTCCAGTGGGTAAGCACAAAGATTTTCCAGGTAGGCAGAGGACTGGGGAAAAGAACAATCCTGGCAACTAGTTTAATAGCTGCCTTTAGTCCCTAATCAGTAATGGACACATATATAAAGGAAAAGCCTGTGAGCTGGGCGGGGCTGATGGAGCAATAAGTAGCATTACAGGGTTAACATGTAAATAGGGCCCCACCAAAGTCATGGCCAGAGGGTTTTTTAATTGATCAATTTCACAGTTTCAGATGTTTACATCTGAAATTTCACCCTGTTGTAACTATGGGGGGTCCCGACCCAAAACAGGATTGTGTGTGTGGGGGTGGGGAGGTGTTGCAGAGTGGTTGTGCGGGGGAGTCCCAAGATTGCCACCCTCACTTCTGTGCTGCCTAGGCAGCAGCCTCTGAACCTCCTGCAGTTAGAGTAGGATCCCAGAGGTGGAGGTGGGTAGTAGGATCTTCCCTATGCTGCTAGGAGAGCCCCAGCTGGAGGCTCCTAGCTGCTAGTCCAGGCCAGTGACAGATGAAGGCAGGGGTCCCCGGCCAATCTGGGCGGGCCCCCTGGAAAAATGGGTGCCCCAGCCCCAGAAAAAGCCCCAGGGCGGAAGCCTCAGCTCAGACTGCCCCAAGCCCTGGCTGGGGTGTGTATGCACATGTGGAAGCCCCGAGCCTGGGCTGCCCTGAGCTCTGGCTTGGGCAGCAGCGGGCAGAAGCCCTGAGCCCGGGCTGCCCTGGCTGGAGACACTGGTGGAGGAAGCCCGGAGCAGTGGCAGAAGCTCTTGCAGGTAGAGGGCAGAAGACTTCCGCTCCAGCCGGGTCAGCCCAGTTCTCAGGCTCTAGATCCAATGTGCCAGCCTTGGATCTGACAATCTATCAGGGCACTTTCCTTCTCCCCAAGTGACACCAGGTCAGTGGGTTTGCTCAAGTGTAGTCTGTTCAGATTTAGTGCTCAAGTCTCTTGATGACGCACAAGGAGAAGAATCCCACTGTCTCCTTTTTAAGCTGTGTTCGCTTGGAGATGCTGACTGGTAAAAACAATAAAGAAGTATGAGTTACTGAAGTGTGCAGCTCTGACTGATAACCACAAGGGGCCAGATTCTCAGTTACAAAGCAAAGCATCCAGGAAACATTTGGATCTGCCCACCTGAGAATTCCCCAGGCATGAGGGAGCTCTCAGCAGACAAGCAGCCAGCATAGCCTGTCACTGAGCCACCCTTCTTGGGCACAGAGTGAAGAGGGTGCATGGCCAGGGCTGTGCTTCCCTGCAGTTATTCTCAGCTTCTATATGGTCGCACAGGGACTATAGCCAGCTGGCATAGATTGGAGCAGCCCCCAGGCTGCTTTAACCTACATCAGGGCGCAGGGTAGTATACTCACTTCTGTGCCAAACAGGAACAGAAAATGCAGCCCAAGGAGCAGATCAGCTAAGAAGGGGCCATTTAAGAGAGTCACTCTTTAGAGTGGAACTGCATATTAAAACAACACAGATTTCTTCTCCCACGTTCATGGGAGAATTCTGGCAGATACACAACAGATGCATAACTCATATAGTTTCTGTAGGTTGTAGAAAAGAATCAAAAGTCTGTTCAAAGTCCTTTCCCTATCTGTGGTGAGTGGCGATCAAAATCAAGGTGTTCATTACAACTGATGTTCATTTATAGACTTTCATAACCGCAGTAAATGCTGTGCAAACAAAGATCTCTGTACCCGGCCTGTCTGCCTATGCAGGGATCAGCTCCAAAGTTCACTCTATCCCAGAAAGCAAACAAGGCTCCCTAAGAACAACACACCTGCTAAATTCATAGCTCTGAGGCCCAGGGCAGTAGCATAGCTTCTGGATTTAAGCAAACTCTGCAGAGCTGCTGCACAGCCATTGCCTGTGTGTGGCCTGGTGGGGAGGATCCCCCCCCCCCCCCCAGGGCCAGATTCTCTTCTGCATCCAGCTTATATTGGGTACAGCAGCAGTGGGAGCGGTCAAGGAGCCAGCTCCCTGATCCTCAGTCCAGGCCCATTTTAGTGCAGCCCACTGGTCGTGGCTCCCTAGGGACTTTACGCCATGTGGGGATTGCCCGGGCACTTTGTGCTCCTGCCACTCTCCCTGCCTGCCCCTCCTGGCTACTGACATGCCTTCTGCACTGGGGGTTCCAGGGAGGGAGGTGTAGGAGACAGCTGTACCAGCTGGGGAGTTACTGAAGGCTTCTGCTCCCATTGCACTGCTTGGGCTCTGAGAATGGGCCCCTTGGCTGGTTAGCAGGTGCTGAGCTGAGGATCCCTGAAGGATGAGCTAAAAACATTTGTTGCTCTGAAGAAAGAGTAAAATGTGTCCCTGGAAAAAGATTTGCCGCGTGGAGCCTCTGATGCTAATAAAGAGACTGAGAACAGGGTCACAGCCACTGGCCCTGTGCATTCCCAAGGGCTCTCACACATCCTGTCCAGCCCAGCCACTCCCTGGTTACAATGCAAACAGCCAAACAGATGGGGGGGGGGGGGGGGGGCAGCAGGTATGTTTATTTCTCTGTGTTTATGGATGCCTCCTCTTCCCCAGATTTTCTGACTGAAGATGATATTTACTGCTGCTGCCTCTCCAAGACACTGCTGCACACCGCTACACCCGTCACCATCGGCTTCTACTGTCCCGTCGGGAGCCGTTTTAATTCGCTGCTTGATAAAATTACAGGTGGGCTCAGGGATGCTTTGGGGTTTCCCCGCAGGAGAACTGGTGCTTTCAGACCTGCTAGAATACCTAGGGGGCACTGGGTGGAGCACGGTAGGCCGGCATGAGACAGGCTGCTGGGAGAGAGCGAGAGAGGAACACCAGTGTACTCCCGCCTAGCCTGGCAGTGAACAGGTCATTGTGTGCTGCAGCCTGTGACCTGTACCTGATCCCCGCATGCTATGGGAGGTCAGCTCCTCGGTGTCTGGTAGCGTGCTCCGAGGCAAGGGCAGTGAGTGTTCCCAGCAAGGGGCTCTACAGGCCCCTGTCCTCAGGGGGTTCCCCAGAACTTAGGCATGCTGCGCGTCGGAGCGAGGATTCATAGATTCATAGATATTAAGGTCAGAAGGGACCATTATGATCATCTAGTCTGACCTCCTGCACAACGCAGGCCACAGAATCTCACCCACCCACTCCTGCAATAAACCTCTCACCTGTGTCTGAGCTATTGAAGTCCTCAAATCATGGTTTAAAGACGTCAAGGTGCAGAGAATCCTCCAGCAAGTGACCCGTGCCCCATGCAACAGAGGAAGGCAAAAAAAACCCAGGGCCTCTTCCAATCTGCCCTGGAGGAAAATTCCTTCCCGACCCCAGATATGGCGATCAGCTGAACCCTGAGCATGTGGGCAAGATTCACCAGCCAGATACCCAGGAAAGAATCCTCTGTAGTAACTCCAGTCCCACCCCATCTAACATCCCATCACAGGCCATTGGGCCTATTTACCATGAATAGTTAAAGATCAATTAATTGCCAAAATCATGTTATCCCATCATACCATCTCCTCCACAAACTTATTGAGTTTAATCTTGAAGCCAGATAGGTCTTTTGTCCCCACTGCTTCCCTTGGAAGGCTGTTCCAGAACTTCACTCCTCTGATGGTTAGAAACCTTCATCTAATTTCAAGTCTAAACTTCCCGATGGCCAGTTTATATCCATTTGTTCTTGTGTCCACATTGGTACTGAGCTTAAAGAATTCCTCTCCCTCCCCAGCATTTATCGCTCTGATATACTTGTACTGTCCTGGGACCACTGTTCCCTCGAAGCTCTGTGTGTGTGCACACGCCCACAGATCCCCAATCCCGCGCACACAGCGAAGCACCACGCGCACAGCAATTTGCACAGAAGAAATTTTTTGTGCACACGGCCTGTCAAAAATTAGAGGGAACGTTGACTGGGACTCTGGGCACAAAGGTGCTGTTGCCCTGGGCACGATGGCTTCACCAGACAAATGAAACACAATACTGCATACTTCTGGTTCCAGCTGAGGTATGTGGTTGACTGCTCAGTTTGTAACTCTGGTGTTCTAGTGTACATTGGTTTTGAAAGTGTCCATAATGGTAAAACGTATTTCAGTAAACAAAAGTTATAATTTTATATCAGTGTAACTGAAGCCATGCTGAGGGAAGTATCAATATAGTTACATCCATTCCTAAAGGAGGTATTGCTGATTTTTCTGTATCAGTTTCTTTATTAGTTATAGCTTATTTTTGCCAAAATATACACTACCAATATAAACACTTTTAATCAGCTACCAAGTCACCTTTCAAAATGGGACTTAGGCTCCTCAGTCACTTAGGGCCAGATTTCCAAAGCTATTTAGGCACCTAAACATGCAGCTAGGTTGCTAGGCCCAAATTTTTAAAGACATTTAGTAGGACTGTCAATTAATTGCAGTTAAGGCCAGCAATTAATGCAAAGCAAATTAACTAGATTAAAAAATAGTTGCAATTAATTGTAGTTTTAATCACACTTAATAATAGAATACGAATTTGAATTTATTATAAATATTTTGGATGTTTTTCTATATTTTCAAATATATTGGTTTCAATTACAACACAGAATGCAAAGTGCACAGTGCTCACTTTATATTATATTTGTTATTACAAATATTTGCACTGTAAAAAAGAGAAACAAAAGAAGTATTTTCCAATTCACCTCATGCAAGTACTCTAGTGTAATCTCTTTATCGTGAAAGTGCAACTTATAAATGTAGGAATTTTTTTTACATAACCACACTCAAAAACAAAACAGTGTGAAACTTTAGAGATAATGCTGCCCACTTCCACCATTTTGAAGCGTTTGGAGGAGAGAAAGGTGATCAGGAACAGTCAACATGGATTCACTAAGGCCAAGTCATGCCTGACCAACCTTATTGCCTTCTATGATGAGATAACTGGCTCTGTGGATATGGGGAAAGCAGTGGACATGATATATCTTGACTTTAGCAAACCTTTTGATATGGTCTCCTACAGTATTCTTGCCAGCAAATTAAAAAAGTATGGATTGGATGAATGGACTATAATGTGGATAGAAAGCTGGCTAGATTGTCGGGCTCCACGGGTAGTGATCAACGGCTCGATGTCTAGTTAGCAGCTGGTATCAAGCAGAGTACCCCAGGGGTTGGTTCTGGGGCCGGTTTTGTTCAACATCTTTATTAATGATCCGGCTGATGGGATGGATTGCACCCTCAGCAAGTTCGCAGATGACACTAAGCTGTGGGGAAAGGTAGATATGATGGAGGGTAGGGATAGGATCCAAGTGACCGAGAGAAATTGGAGGATTGGACGAAAAGAAATCTGATGAGGTTCAACAAAGACCAGTTCAAGAGTCCTGCACTTAGGATGGAAGAATCCCAGGCACCGCTACAGGCTGGGGACCGACTGACTAAGCAGCAGTTCTGCAGAAAAAGACCTGGGGATTACAGTGGACAAGAAGCTGGATATGTGTCAGCCATATGCCCTTGTTGCCAAGAAGACTAACGGCATATTGGGCTGCGTTAGTAGGAGCGTTGCCAGCAGATTGATTATTTCCCTCTATTCAGCACTGGTGAGGCCACAGTTGGAGTATTGTCCAGTTTTGGGCCCCCCACTACAGAAAAGATGTGGACAAATTGGAGAGAGTCAAGCGGAGAGCAATGAAAATTATCAGGGGGCTGGGGCACGTGACTTATGAGGAGAGACTGAGAGAACTGGTCTTGTTTAGTCTGCAGAAGAGAAGAGTGAGGGGGGATTTGATAGCAGCCTTCAACTTCCTGAAGGGGGGTTCCAAAGAGGATGGAGCTCGGCTGTTCTCAGTGGTGGCAGATGGCAGAACAAGGAGCAATGGTCTCAAGTTGCAGTGGGGGAGGTTGGATATTAGGAAACACTATTTCACTAGGAGGGTGGTGAAGCACTGGAATGGGTACTAGGGAGGTGGTAGAATCTCCATACTTAGAGGTTTTTAAGGCCTGGCTTGGCAAAGCCCTGGCTGGGATGATTTAGTTGGTGTTGGTCCTGCTTTGAGTAGGGGGTTGGACTAGATACCTCCTGAGGTCTCTTCCAACCCTAATCTTCTATGGCCTTGTCTACATTTGCAGATGTAGAGCGCCGGGAGTTAAACCAGCCCTCGGAGACAGCAGCAGGGAAAGCGCTTCCGTATGTTCACTCTGTCAGCTGCAAGCTCAGTGACGTGGCCACATTTGCAGCATTTGCAGCGGCATTCGGAGTGGTGCATTATGGGCCGCTGTCCCAGAGAGCACCTCTTCCCATTCTGGCGCTGAGGCTTGTGGGAAGGGGGATGGAGGGCATCCTGGCTCCTGTCCCAATGTCCCATGATGCATCGCTTTGCATCCCAGCAATCCCTGTGCTTCCGTCCACGTTTGGCGCCATCTTTCAACGGCGTTTGTACGGCGCACTCTGTCTTCCCTTTCGGTCTGCAGGAATGGATCCCGAACTGCTGAGGAACATGCTGATCGGTCTCGCCAGCACGTCATGAATTGCAGTCGAGTTAATCCTTAAGCTCCAAAGTGATAGTGAGGCGTCCAAAGATGATGTCAACTCGCAGAATGCATACGACACGAGATGGCTTGTGACATTCGTGGACATGCTCACCGCCATGGAACGCCGCTTCTGGGCTCGGGAAACAAGCACTGAGTGGTGGGAATCACATCGTCACGCAAGTCTGGGATGACGAGCAGTGGCTACAGAACTTTCGGATGAGGAAAGCCACTTTTATGGGACTGTGTGCTGAGCTCACCCCCACCTTGCCGGTGGAGAAGTGCATGGCAATCGCAATCTGGAAGCTAGCTACTCCAGCTACCGATCGGTTGCTAACCAGTTTGGAGTGGGCAAGTCTATCGCTGGAATCGTGTTGATGCAAGTGTGCAGGACCATTAATCGCATCTTGCTCAGAAGAACCATGACTCTGAGCAACATGTGTGACATTGTGGATGGCTTTGCACAAACGGGTTTCCCTAACTGCGGAGGGGCGATGGATGGCACGCATATTCCACTTTTGTCACCAGACCACCTAGCCTCTGAGTACATAAATCGGAAGGAGCATTTCTCGACAGTTCTCCAGGCGCTTGTGGATCACCGTGGGTGTTTCACGGACATTAACGTAGGCTGGTCTGGAAAGGTGCATGGCGCACACATCTTTCGGAACACAGGCCTGTTTAGGAAGCTGCAAGCCAGGAATTTCTTCCCGGATCAAAAAATCACCATAGGGGAAGTGGAAATGCCCATTGTGATCCTTGGAGACCCCGCCTACCCTTTAATGCCATGGCTTATGAAACCCTACACAGGGAGCCTTGACAGCAGCAAGGAGTGGTCCAACAACAGGCTGAGTCGGTGCAGAATGACTGTTGGGTGTGCTTTTGGCCATTTAAAGGCCCACTGGCACTGTCTGTATGGGAAGCTGGACCTGGCCAATGACAACGTTCCCTACGGTTATAGCCACGTGCTGTACCCCTCATAACATATGTGAAGGGAAGGGTGAAAGCTTCACTCAGGCATGGACCGCTGAGGTTCAACACCTGGAGGCTGAATTTGAACAGCCAGAGACCAGGGCTATTAGAAGGGCCCACCACAGGGCGGTAAGGATTAGGGATGCCTTGAGGGAGCAATTCAATGCTGAAAGCCACCAGTAATGTTTGGTGCCCTGCACGGGAGTGAAGTGCCGTGGTTCCAAAGCTAGTAGGCATCTGTGTTTGCTACGTACAATACACTGACTAGCAGCGCCTGTTGCTTTCCTGGGCTGTGCTATCTTTTACTTAATGAAGAATGTATCCAAAACCAAAAAAATTCATTTATTGAAAAGAAACACAACTGCTGGAGAAACACACATGGCCTGACACATCTGTGCTATGTGGGAGGAGAGAAGGGGGCGGGGTGGGGAACGGAAGAGTCACAGATTTGTGTATATCCTGTTATCATACTCAGCCTTCCTGTCTGGAGTGCTGTGCAATGAGTGCTGCACTTCAGGCTGGCTCTACTGCATGGTGCTGGGGGTTGAGCGCAGTGGGTCAGGGTCCTAGTTTTCAGGGCTGGGTGGTGAAGCTACAGGTGTTGGAGGCAGCTGGTGGCGATAAGAAACCAGATGTTGGGGAAAATGGGTTGGAGGTGACATGGGGGCGTAAGGGAAAGAGTTTTGGGGTAAGGGATGTGGGGGGGGGGGGGCGCGGATCTGCTCTGTTCACAGTGCTATGAGCGCCTGCATTGAGTCTACTTGGCGCTCCGTAATGCTTAAGAGCCGCTCCGTGGTTTGTTGCCTGTGATCCGCATTGTCCTGGCGGACCCTCCTTTTGGTTTCCCGCCACTCCTGTACTTTTTGATTTTCAGTAATGACTTCATGCAGAAGGTCCTCGCTTCTTTGTGGCCACTCCCTGAGGCTGCGCAGCCATTCAGCCGTTGATAACAAGGACGGCTGGGATCTCAAGGTTGCATCTGCAACATTTAAGAGAGGCAGCATTGTTCACACTAGTCAGAGCAATGATTTGGCTGAACGTAAAGACAAGCACAGTGCAAACAACAGCATAATTTGCCCATTCCAAAGTGAGCACACATAACCCACAAGAGCCCCGAAATGGTGAGTAACCACAGGGACAGGGGGGACTGATTGATCCAGGGCCATACTGTCTGGGGTCCTGTGCCTTGGGGAGAGCCGACAGCTGCAGGGGGCCCCTATACTCAACACTGTCCCCACATTTTCCACAGGCTGGGTTCGTCCTGGAAGATATCTCGCTGCTGAGGGTGACCTGGGAAGCAAGGGAGGGTCTTCTACAACAATGCGGCTTCCGCCCTGGCCCATATTCTGCTTGCCTGTGTGCAGCAATGGCCGCCCCCCACCCCCTCATGGCACAGTGGTGCAGATACGTTAGCCTTACTGGGACAAGGAGCACGGTAGCTCTGCCAAGGAACCTGCATAAGCGGATTGCCCAGCTTCTGGATGAGACCTTCAGTGAGATCACTGAGGCCGATTACCGCGATGTGAGAGACTACACCACTGCCCTATTCCGCATCTAGGCATGCATGCAGACCTAACCCTTCTTTCTGCAACCCTCCTTGCCCCAACAGCCCGCACCCAACAACTCCCTTCTCAAAATAAAAGCTGCTTACCGGGCACATCCTCTGCTGTTTGTTCTTCCCCAAACACCATCTGCTGTGACTGGCTACCTTCCTCTTGGCTTGAAAACAGCTCCTGGCTGCATGCATCTATGGATGCCGAGCTGTCCTCTGGCTCCTGGCCCCCGTCCTCCTCTGCACCCTCGCTCCTGCTTTCCTCCTTCTGCCTTGTTGCATTCTGGGCTGCCACGGCCTCTGAAGTGTCCATGGTGCTCTTCGGAGTGGAGGTGGGATCACCCCCAAGTATCTCGTCCAGCTCTTTGTAGAACTGGCAGGTCGTGGGGACAGCTTTGTGGTAGGCATTCTGCAGCTCCTTCCCTTTAACCCTGCACTGAATCCTGGTCATGGCCCCCTTCTATCATGGCCCTTGATAACTGCCCATTGGTATTGTAATTCCTATGGCTGAAGTGCAGCTGGGACTGGACAGCTTCCTCCCCCCAAACACTGGTGAGGTCCAGCACCTCGCCATAGCTCCACGCTGGGGATCGCCTGGCGCGTGGAGGCATGGTCACCTGGAAAGATGCGCTGACAGCACTCCACGCCTTGCTGAGCAAACAGGAAGGAGACTTTCAAAATTCCCAGAGAATTTAAAGGGCGGGTCTGATGGTTGGTCATCTGAGGGCAGGGCAGTAGACTTCAAAGTGATGACCAGAGTGGCTAGAACAGACATTGTAGGACACTTCCTGGAGGCCGATCAGAGTGCATTAATAGACCAGGGCGTCCACACTGGAGCGCAGAAAGCTCTATGCTTCTTGTGGAGGTGGATTACCAAGGGCTCTCCAGCCACGGAGTCCAGGTGCTCTACGTGCCTTGCCAGTGTGGACACCTCATGAGTCAGGGCACCGAAGACTGATTTAATGCACTCCAACTTGCAAGTGTAGACAAGGCCCATGATTCTTATTTACAATGTCACCTGAAAGTGAGAACAGGCATTCATACAGCACTGGTGTAGCCGGCTTGCAAAGTATTTACGTGCCAGATATACTAAATATTTGTATGCCCCTTCGTGCTCCCATACACAGACAGCTAGTGAGCTGGCATGGTTGGGTTTGTGCCGCCACAACGTATGTTCTTCCTGCCCAGTTAGAAAGGTTCAGGGATGCTGCAGTCTCTGACAAGGGGGCCGAACAGAGAAAGGAGGTTACTCGGACACTTCGCATGAGGAGGATTGTAATACATAACTAACAGTCCCCTAAACACCCTGTTATCGGAGTCAGGTGACAATCACAGCCCCCAGTCTTTCTGGGTTTTTCAGTGATTTTTGTTTCAACCTACTATATTCTGCAAAGTCTCTGTTTTCATTTCTATAAACAAACTGTGTTCTGCCTTCTTTACTGCCAGGATCCCCATGGAAACTACTTGGGCAGCTGCCTTCCAGCAATCTGTCCCCAAAGACATCACATTTCAGCAGCAAAGACAGGAGCTCATCCCACCTTTCTCACCTGAATAAAATGCACATTTCAGAGCTATATGGGGCCATGGAAATACTATGCTGGGACCCAGATCCTGGAGACTTCAGTTCTTTCAATTTTCACTCAGGCAAATACTCACTGGAGTCCAAGACCCCAGGACCTCACACATTACATGCAATTTCCTCAAAAGCAAAACAAGGAAGTTAAATATTTTTAAAAAGCCTCCATTAAAACTCCAAAAGGTCAGGAAACACCACAGTTAAGATTCCAGCAGCAAAGTTAATTCAGCTACTTTGCACACCTGTGAACTGAACACAATGTCCCAGGGACAGTTGCATCAAAGCCATGTCCCCCTGCTCTGCAGTGTGATTCTTTGTGTATGCTGCCCACCACATGTGCAATGGTCTCTTCTGCTGCCTTATAACATTTCAAGCTCCTGTCTAATTTGCTGCCCACTGCCACACACCAACCCTCCTTGTCACCCTCGCAGTATGTGTGTTTGGGATAATTTCCCTGGGATGCACTGGCTGCATCTTTCAAGCTGAATCCATTTTATTTTTTCTGACTCTTCTCCAAATCGCCCTAGGTCCTTTCATGTTATTTCTCTGGCCTCCAAGTTTGCAGCACCTCCCTGTTTAAAATCATCTGCCATTTTTTCTAATATGCAATTTATCCCCTTTCTTCAGATCATTAATGAAGATGTTAAATTAAGTAAGACCAAAGCTAGCACAGATCCCTATGGCACCCTATTAAACAATTTATTTCAGATACCCAGCAAGATAACAAATCCGGGCCACATGACCTGTTTGGTAGGGCCTCCCCACCTCCCCTTAATGAGACACAGTACCATACAGCAGGGTAACCAGTTGTTTTTTCTGCTTCTCCAGCCTGCATGCTCAAAGAATCCCTTCAGAGAGAAGAAGAGGAGCTGAGAAAATCACAACTAAAGCCAAGAAGACCTGAAGGTTGGGGCTATTTTCTTCTCCTGTGGTATCTGGTCTTCTACCAGCCTGTGATCACTGAGGTCCACCTGAGGAGGGAGAACATTCAGTTCATCTTCATCAGGTTTAGTGCTTGGCAATATGCTGGCAGCGACAAGCTGTGGGCAGGGCTGGTCACCACGCTCTGTCAAAGCATCCGCAAGCACTTTGGTGCCCTGCCTTTGAGCTTTTACCACGTGATGGGGAAAAGGCCCAGATATGCCTCTGGCTTTAGCCAAGACGAATGGCTTCTCAACAGGCGGACCTGCCTTACACTAGGAGGCCTCGTGTTTGTCCTACTGGCAGGCATAAGTCTGCTCTCAGTGGCAATCTTTGTACCAGGACTAAAAGACAGCAGGGCGTTAAAGGTCATTGGTAGTACTACCACCACCCTGTCTGGATCAGGAATATTAGTGACTGTTATCTCTGTGGTTAAGAACGTGGTTATCAGCCAGAAGCAGAAAATTGAGAAGATGACAGACAGCGAGAAGTTTAGCAGCCACCTAGGCTTCATGAGCCAAGTGAAGAAGGAAATTGAGATGCTGACCAGCTTTGTGTATTACATGGAGATCTATCAGAGACGGCGGCTGCGCATAGTGCTGGAGATCACCAGTCTGGATATGTGCTACCCAGAGAGGGTTGTTGGGGTTTTGAATGCAATAAACACTTTGCTCTCGGACACGAACGCCCCATTCATTTTCATCCTGGTGATAGATCCCAGCATCATTGCATCGTGTTTGGAACAAACCAGCTGCATGAAAGGAATGGCTGACAATGGGTACCTGTTCCTGAACCGCACGGTGACTTTGCCTTTTTCAATGCCAGAGATGGGCACAAAGTCCAAAATCCAGCAATTGCAGGATGCTGTCCAGAGCCGGGAGGACCTGATGTACAAAATCATCACAAAAAACGTGGAAAGGGGAGTCAAGAACGTAAAGGGGGAAATGATAAACCTGGAAGATATGGAGATGTCCAGTGAAATGGACCAAAGCCAAATCGATGCTCATGCTATGAGGTATATTCATGAAGCATTTCATGCTCTGCACAATGAGACTGATTGTCTCTATGCATACATTCCAGACAGCATTATTCAAATGAAAAGGATAGTCAACACAATTCCCATCACCATCAGACTCATGCTCCAGCAGAACGTTATGAGACACACAATGTCTGCAAGGTCCGTGGCTGCATGGGTGGTCATGGCTAATCAATGGCCATGCCGCTTGAGTTGGGTGCTGCAGTGCCTTCAGGACAGGCAGCAGATTCGACCAATGGAGGAGGAGTTCAGGAACCAGTCCCTATGGGGAATCTTCGTGGAAAACTGTAAAGAGCTGTACTCCATGCACAAAGTCCTCGAGAATATCCTGGCCTTGGATGGGGACCCAGAACTCTTTGAGAATTTTTTGTCTCATGATTTTCCTTTCACAGTACAGGAGGCCAACACCTTTCTAAAGTCCACAATCAATCTGGACCATTCAATAAGGCAAAAATTGGGTCTAATTCGAGCAGTTAATTCACTGAATAAGGCCAATGATACAAACGTAACTAAGTCTGCCCAGGTGTCTAAGGGTGTGCAGTGTTCTGGTTTAGAGGAATGCAGTTAAACAATTGAAAAGACTTCCCTTATTTGCCTTAGAAAGGAAAAAAGGAAAAAGTTACCATCTATGAACTATTGAATGATTCAGTGAAAATCAGTCCGGTGCTTCTATTGACTAAATTTGCAGCTACCCTCACCTAGGTAGTTAAGTCAAAACTACTTAAATGCTGCCATTTCTCACATTTGAGAGAATACAGTGCTCATCTGAGCCAAAATAACAGACTAAGTCCTCCTTTTTAAGAGAGTCTAAAGCTGGCCTCTGACATTTCAGGCCCAGATAATTGTGGCCTCATCTCAGCACAGTGATTCTAACTACCTGCGCGCAGCCACATAGCTAAAGCCAACATTTTTTTGAGTGGTTTCAGAGTAACAGCCGTGTTAGTCTGTACTTGCAAAAAGAAAAGGAGGACTTGTTGCACCTTAGAGACTAACCAATTTATTTGAGCGTAAGCTTTCATGAGCTACAGCTCACTTCATCGGATGTTTGAGTGTTCAACTTTAGGTGTTTTAACCTGGGCACCCAAAACTTGCGGTAGCAAAAGTCAGGGCCCATTTTTGAAAACTTTTCCCTAAATATTTAAGTGCAATAAAATTTCACTCACAATTCTTGTCCCCCACAAAATTGCAGATGTAAATTTGGAAGCAACTTTTCAAAACCAGGCTCTAGACAAACACCAATTGTTTCCTCTAGTATTGTAAATACTAAGCCGAAGCCTTCCCTTAGCCACTCCCACACAGTTTGGCTCTCTTGGATGAAGTATTGAGCAGAACGTGCCCTTGACCAGATGTGGGGTGTGTAAGTGAGCGGTAACTTGTCTGAATTTTCATGTATACTCAGGCCACTTTACAGTGCTCTGGCAGTATAAAGGGGCCTAAAGTGGGAGAAACTGATAAGGACCCTTTACACTGCCAGAGCACTGTGTCAATGGGAATCAGTTTACCGGGTACGGTGTATGGAGATGTGTCCCTGCAATGGAGCAGGAGGCAGTGATCCATGTGTGTAATAGCAAAGGTGATAAGTAAGTCCGTGACTACGAAGGTTGGTAAATTTGAAGGGATGCTAGTATGCAGGTACAGGATGAAGGTGCCAAGTGTTGTAATTATGGTGCGAGTGTGCTGGTCGAATGATGATCAGCTGTGAAGGTATGAGCTGAGTGTGCACGCGCACCACCATGAGTTACGTAAGCTGGCATCAGTGATTTGCGCAGCCCGTAGGCATGAGGTGTCGTAGTGTGGCATTAGGTGCATGGAATTATAGCTCTCTACTGGTTTTAACATTATAGTCACCTATTAGCTCCATCTCTGCATCTCTCTCCCTTTGTATTTAGATGAATAGAGTGAAACAAGTCTCAGTCAGGCTTCTGTATAGAACACCTACCAGAGTGTCTCATTTCTTGCCTTATAATGCCATCATGTGGCCGGTTATTTTGCTGATTTAAAGCTACACAAAGCTCCGTCCCCAAGTTTTTCTACTCTTTTACTACTTTATTATACTCTCGTTTTCTCTGTTGTTCCAACAATCAGTTTCCCAGCCTTTGGATGTTTGACTGTTTATCTTCCACTGGTACAGATCTGAGGAGCACCAGCAGCCTGTCCCCTCTGTGGAGTAGTGCTGCCCCTATGGGGATGTTACACTCACCCAGGAGGAGCAGAGAACTGTGATTCTGTTAAAGAACTTTTTTTGCAGGTTTCCCATTGTCCATTGTGGCAGGGCACTGCTGAGGAAGCATGTTACAATCAGGAAATACAAAGTTAGGTTAAATGATCAGTCTCGACTCGCTGAGTGCGTGCATTCAAATAAAGGCTCTCTTGATTTCATTGCATAGAACTTGTCAGGTATTAGAATATAATATTATAGCATGGAAATGGAAAATTTAGGTCACAGATGTACAGATTTGTGTACATGACCTCCTAGTGCAATCCTGTGGCAAAGAGATCACACAACATGTGGATGTATTAGTAGGGGAATTTGAAGTAGGAAGAGGGAGGTGGTATAAAGCAATGAGGAGAGCAGTCCTAGAATACTTTGTCTAGTTCTTGTGCCCACACTTTAAAAAGGATGGTGAAAAATTAAAGAGGGTTCAGAAAAGAGCTATAAGAATCTCAGTGAGACTAAAAGAACTCAATCTACTTAGCCTATTGAAAAGAAGGTCACATCGTGATTTGACCGTGGCCTCTACATGAGAAGATATTTAATCTAGCAGACAATTGGTAAAACTTTGCTAAGTGCCTGTGTGACTTAGGAGCCTAAGTCCCATTTTCAATATGTGGGGAGTGGGATCCTAAATTACTTGGGTACTTTTGAAAATTTTACCATAATATCATTGAAAATGGGATTTAGGTTACTAAATCACTTAGGCACTTTTGAAAATGTTACCCCCAGATGTGAATTTAAAGGACACAAGTCATGGAGAATTTGTCACATTCCTTTGCAAACTGTTGCAATGGTTAATTATGCTCATAGTTCAAAACGTGTGTCTTACATCCTGTTTGAGCATTGCTGACTTCATCTTCCAGCCATTGGATCTTCTTATGATTGTGCCTGCTAGATTAAAAGGCCCTTTCCTATCAAATATCTTCTCCATATGTGGGTACACATAGACTGCAATCAAGTCCTTCCAAACAATCTGTCCTAGCTCATCCACAAGTTGTTGGGCTGTCTGCAGGAATTACTGAATGGAATTCTCTGGCATGTTATTATTCAGGTCAGACTAGGTGATCACAATGGTCCCTTCTGGCCTTAAAAACCGATGGAAGAGGGTGCATTGATGTAATATGATGATTGTCTCAGCTGAAATATAGCAATTTTGTTTTTAGAGAACAAAACTAAGCAAGCAAATAAAGCAAAGCCTTGTGATTTCTGTAAATACATGTAAAGTATCCAATCCATAGTGAAACACACTTTTAAACTACATAATTTATACAAGAAAATATTTATTTTGATAGCTGTATGTACGCTGGTAGTACACCGTGAGACAGGGTGTACATCTAACCCAGGAGAAGGCACAGATGTCTTCTTTGTTTGCTAGTCATTTGTCAGTCTGAATAAAGAATGTTGGAGAATAATTGTTCACAACCCTTCATGCTTTACTCCTGTATGTGGGGGATGAGTCAAGTCCCTTGCCAGCCATACTCAGTGAGCGGGGAATGGGATCTGCAAACCAGGCCTATTTAACTGCCTCTTCTTTAACAGGCCTTAAACAAGCCATACAGCTTGAGCATACCACAGATCATCTCCACAGGCCAACCCCAAGCTCTCTACAGTCAGCCAGGCCCTGTAGAAAATCTTTAGGGGTGAAGTTGTGGCCCTATTAAAAGTCTATGGCAGTTTTCCCTTTGACTTTAATAGGGCTAGAATTTCCTTCCACTTGTTTTCCTCTTCTCCACATCATCGATCCAGCCCCGCTATGCCATGCACTTTCTGTTAGTTTCAGCAAGATGATTTCTCTGGCACTAGTCTGTTCCCAGCTCTCAGAGTTGGGATGGAGAGGTTTGATTTATTTACACTTTTGAAAGCACTAAAGCCACACCATGGGTCTGGAGGCAGATGTTGCCCTGGAGATCTAAATCAGAGTCCTGGTGCTGTATCAAGAAGAAATGTGGCAGGGCCGGGGAAGGAGGCAGGGCCGGGGATTTGGGGAAGGACTTGGGAAGGGGCAGAGCTGGGGTGGAGCCGGGGGCAGGAAAAAAAAGCAGAGGCAGCCAAAATTTTTTTTGCTTGGGGCAGCAAAAACCCTAGAGCCAGCCCTGCACACAAGCAACTCCCTTGGGACGTCTCGGGCATCCCGGCCCCGGGCTCCGGGGACACGCAGCGACCCCCCCGGGGACGTCTCGGGCATCCCGGCCCCGGGCTCCGGGGACACGCAGCGACCCCCCCGGGGACGTCTCGGGCATCCCGGCCCCGGGCTCCGGGGACGCTCAAGCGCCTCGCGGGCCTCCGGCGCGTGATGGGTTAAAACCGGCCCCGCAGCCGGGGCGGGGCCGGGCCGCGCTGTGGGAGCTTCCGGCCCCCACCGGAAGCCGCCGTCTCAAGCCGCTTCCGGGACCCCGGAGGCCCCCGGCCCTTCCCCCTGCGCGCAGCCCCCGCGGCCGGAGCGGTGAGTGGGGGCGGTAACGGCGGGGGCTCCCTCGTTAAAGGGCGCCTGCAGCCCCCCCCCCGGAGGGGAAAGGGGAGAAGCTCCCTCCCCCTCGGTCTGCCGGGGGCCCGGTTGGGGCGCCCCCCCTTCCCCTCGGTCTGCCCCCCCCCGGTCTGCCGGGGCGCCCCCCCTTCCCCCCCTCGGTCTGCCGGGGCGCCCCCCCTTCCCCCCTCGGTCTGCCGGGGGCCCGGCTGGGGAGCCCCCTTCCCCCCCCCCTCGGTCTGCCGGGGCACCCCCCCTTCCCCCCCGGTCTGCCGGGGGCCAGGCTGGGGAGCCCCCCCCTCCCCCTCGGTCTCCCCTCCCCCCCTCGGTCTGCCGGGGCACCCCGCCCTCCCCCCGGCACACTTAGGTAAAGAGAAGGAGCAATGGTCTGGCAGAGGAGGAGGCAAATGGGACTGGATCAGAAGGAAGGAGCAGGAAGGGGAGGCCAATATGGCTCCATGAGGCGCATGGGAATGAGCTGAAAATCGAAAAGGAATCCCACAAAAAGTGGCCATATGGACAGATTGCTAAGGGGATGTGGAGAAGAATAGCACAAGCCTGCAGGGACAAAATCGGAAAGGCTAAGGCAGGAAATGAGTTATGCCTAGCAAGGGACATACAAAGGTAATAAGAGGAGTTTCTAAAAGTACATTAAGAGGGAGAGAAAGGTGAAGGAAAGTGTAGGTCCGCTGCGTAGCAGGGAAGGAAAGCTAATAACCGGTGACATCAAGAAGGCTGAGATGTTTAATTTGTGTTTTGCGACATTCTTAACTAAGATGATTACTTGTGACCATATTGTCAGTTTCAAGGTAACTGCACCGGTACTCCCTCTCTGTGGTCCCTCAAGGCACCCACTTAAAAGTTTCTGGCTCTGAGACATCACCTCTTTTGGACAGACATGCATGTCTTATTCTCTCTTCACCAGGGGTTTTAAGGCTGCACATCTCCCTAGATTACGCTGTGATGTCCCCAGCAAATCATCTGCCTGTCTTAACTTTCATAGTCCTTGGAGAGAAAGCAATCACACAGCTCTTTCTAAGCAAAGAACGTTCATTCTTTAGATAAAATGGGGGGAAGTTACTATTTATTGGGCTACTTATCCAGAAGTCTCCTTTTTGTCTGTTGATCTGTGCAGAATCCGGTTTGAATCAGAATATATGAGCTTCCCTAGGCAGTGGTACCTCTCTGGAGATGTTATAACATGAGCAATTTGCCTTAATCATTTATTACTGTTTTCACTTCCTGGAGGAGCTGTGGTATCCATCTCCCCACCATGGAGTGTATACAATCCCTGGCCCACAAATGATACATAAACCATTTATATACTTAATATGATATGGTCTTCCATAGATATTGTAGGAAGTTGCCTTGTCTGTCTCATCTTCTCCCTAAATAAGTGGGTGTAACTGTGGTGCTTGACTGGCATCCTAGAGGAATCCAGAGGTTTATTCCCTGAATGGAGTTTAAGCCATTACCTTTCATAAGTTAATATTTCACCTATGCATGTAATAAACATTCTGCTAGCAAGTCAGCATACATCCCTCAAAAACTGTACAGTTTAACAATCATCCTATATAATTTCTCCTGTTAGAACCTAGAGGGTGGAGCTCCTGCTTTCCCCCTCTTGCCCTTGTTCCCCCAAAACCTTTGGGTGTGAACTTGAGACCTGGTCCTCCCACCCCCACCTTCCATCTGGTTTTTAGGGAGGGTGTGTGGTGTCCCTTTGTCCCTCAAGGTATCAGTTCCTCTGGCAGTGAGTTGAGTCCCCATGTACTCTTTGGACAAAAGAGAGAAATAAAGCAGGGCTGCCTCCCTGTGAAGTGGCTCTCAACCAGACGTTGCTTTTACAGCAGAGGGGTTGGACAAGAGAGAGTCTTGAAACATCCCCCATAGCCAAATTCCTTTCTGGCCACCTTCTCAGGCTCTTGGGGCCCCGGGGACTCCTGTGGCTTTACCTCAGCGTCTATGGGGGAATGGGAGGAGTATTGATCCCCCGTCCCAATGGGGTGGCCTTTTCATCTCTGTATATTGAGTCAAGGAGTGCAACAGATTTTCCTCCAGCAGGCTCAGGGTCCTTTACATTTTGACAGATCGTCAGGCAGTCGTAGACTCTGGGGAGAATTTCCCCTTCTTTGAGGTTGTAGTTACTGTTGTCATCTCCCAAGCAGCTGTCTTACGCTTGGGCATTTCCCACCCTTGGATAGATTGAGCAGTGCACTGCAGCTGCTTCAGTGTCCCTACTTTTGGCTGGAGTCACTGTCATCCCCATGCTCTGTACTTCCGCTGGCTCCCTGGTAAGAGTAGTCGGAGAAGTTATTTCCCGGCCTGGGCTTCAGGACCCAGAGGGTTTCCCTTTAATTCAGTAGGTCTCCTCACTCCCCTGGAGTAAAAAGAAAAGGAGTACTTGTGGCACCTTAGAGACTAACCAATTTATTTGAGCATAAGCTTTCGTGAGCTACAGCTCACTTCATCGGATGCATCCGATGAAGTGAGCTGTAGCTCACGAAAGCTTATGCTCAAATAAATTGGTTAGTCTCTAAGGTGCCACAAGTACTCCTTTTCTTTTTGCGAATACAGACTAACACAGCTGCTACTCTGTCCCCTGGAGTAGGCGGCTATCTCACCCACCCTCTCCTCTGGTATTTGTTTGCATATACTGAGAAAGTAATCTGATTCCTCTTGGATACTGGCAGGGTGGATATGACCCTTCCCTTCTCCCACCCCCAACACCACCTTTTCAGCTACTCCTGTTAGCATTGTGGGGTGGAGGGATAGCTCAGTGGTTTGACCATTGGCCTGCTAAACCCAGGGTTGTGAGTTCAATCCTTGAGGGGACCATTTAGGGATCTGGGACAAAAATTGGGGATTGGTCTTGCTTTGAGTAAGGGGTTGGACTAGATGACCTCCTGAGATCCCTTCCAACCCTGATATTCTATGATAACACAGTCCCTTGAAGGCCTGGAGTTAGCAGAGGGGGTCTGATTCATCCCTTCTGTTTTTAGAGCCATATTATTCCCCAAAGCAAAGAATATGGAATATCTGACAGTACACTTACCCCTTGTGCCCCAAGCCTTCCTGAGTCTGTATAGAAACCTGTGGTGTAGGTTGAGTGAAGGCTCTTATACCAGGAGTTTTTAGCCACGTTTCACACCCTGAGAGCATTTGATGGGGTTTCAGGACATGGAGCTTAACTATCTCTCTTGGTATCTCTCCTGGTCCTGGTATCTCTCCATTCAATGAATGTCTCCCCATTGACTGCCACCTTCCATCCCACTGAGGGTCCAATTGGTCTGCACCTAAGAGGGTGCAGCATGAAATATGGGCAGTAGTTTGGGGTGTGATTGGCTCAGCATGAACATTGTATGCCATCAGTGTACTATGTGACTCCATCCCTCTGGAGATTGTCACCCAGTTAACTCTGTGAGGCTGGGGTTGCAGCTGGCTTTCTGAGCATCGCACTGGGCGGAGCAGACAGTCCCAGGCAAAGTGACATGGCTGATCACAGATGAGACACTCCTTTGTCCCACCCATCTCAGGGCTTCCCTGCTGCCACATGTGGGCCTCTGCTTGCGCTCAGTCCCTGTGATCTGATCCCATCCCTTCATTGTTAGGTTTTCTATCAAACCCAGGCTGACTCTCCACATAATGGCCTGCCAATTTCCCAACAACAGTTTTATCTCTATGATCTTTGTCCGCGAACCCTGGTTTTAGGTCAGGGTAGCAGAGTTTATAGAATTGTTTTAAGCCCATTATTTTGTAGGCCTCACCGACTGTGGCAACCTGCCACAACACTTAATACACTTTGGTCTCCCAAAGATATTGTAAAAAGTTGCCTTATGATGCTCAAAACAATTTTAACAACAAGGGGGAAGGTACACAAGTCACAATAGGGAAAGAACATGTTAAAGAATATTTAGATAAGTTAGATGTATTCAAGTTGGCAGGGACTGATGAAATGTACCATAAGCCGATGGATGATGGGATGCATCATGTACCCTTAGGATCAAGCCTATGGATGATTACTGTGGCTCTTTGGCAATGTACAATGGTAAATTCTGGCTCCTTTTCAGGCTCAGGTTGGCCATCCCCTGAACTAGATGAATCAATCTTAGAGAACCATTAGTGATTATCTTCAAGAGCTTGTGGAGAAGGGGTGAGGTCCCAGAAGACTGGAGAAAGGCATTATGTTTGTGTCCATCTTTAAAAGGGGGAACAAATAGGACGTGAGGATTTATAGACCAGTCAGTCTAACTTGATACCTGGAAAGATACAGGAATACATTATTAAACAATTTGTAAACACCTAAAGGAAAATAGGGTAACAAGTAATAGCCAACATGGATTTGTCAATAACAAATCATGCCAAAACAAACTAATTTCCTTCTTTAATGGGGTTATGGCCTATGGAACATAAGAATGGCCATACTGTGTCAGATCAATGGTCCATCTACCCCAGTATCCTGTCTTCCAACAGGGGCTGGTGCCAGATGCTTCAGAGGGAATGAACACAGGGCAATTACCAAGTAATCCATCCCCTGTTGTCCAGTCCCAGTTTATGGCAATCACTGGTTTAGGGACACCCAGAGCATGGAGTTGCGTCCTTTACATCTTGGCTAATAGCCATTGATGTACCGATCTTCCATGAACTTATCTCATTCTTTTTGGAACTCGGTTATACTTTTGGCCTTTACAATATCCATTTTCAATGAGTTCCACAGTTGACTGAACACTGTGTGAAGAAGTCTTCTCTACGTTTTTTTTTTAAATCTGCTGCCTGTTAATTTCATTGGCTTCTTTTTTTGTGTGAAGGGATAAATAACACTTTCCTTATTCACTTTCTCCGCACCATTCTTGATTTTACAGACCGTTATCGTATTCCCCCGTAGTCACCTCTTTTCTAAGATGAACAGTCTTTTAAATCTCTCCTCAGATGGAAGCTGTTCCATACCCCTAATCATTTTTCTTGCCTGTCTCTGAACTTTTTCCAATTGTAATACATCTTTTTTGAGATGAGACGATCAGAACTGCATGCAGGATTCAAGGTGTGGGCGTATCATGGATTTATGTAGTGGCATTAGGCTATTTTCTGTCTTATTATCTATCCCTTTCCTAATGGTTCCTAACATTCTGTCCGCTTTTTTGATTGCGGCGACACATGGAGCTAATGTTTTCACAAACTCCATAGTGGCTCCAAGATCTTTTTCTTGAGTGCTAACAAATAGTTTAGACCGCCACATTTTTTATCTGTAGTTGGGATTATGTTTTCCAGTGAGCACTTTGCACTTACCATCATTGAATTTCATCTGCCATTTTGTTGTCCAGTCACCCAGTTTTGTAAGGTCCCTTTGTAACTCTGCAGTCAGCTTTGAACTTAACTATCTTGAGTTATTTTGTATTGTCTGCAGTGCAGTGTTCACCTCCGTTTCCAGATCATTTATAAGTATGTTGAACAGCACTTGTCCCAGTCCTTGGAGGACCCCGCTATTTACCTCTCTCCACTGTGTAAATTGTCCATTTATTCCTACCTTTTGTTTCCTGTCTTTTAACTATTTACTGATCCATGAAAAGCCCTTCCCTCTTATCCCATGACTGCTTACTTTGCTTAAGAGCAAAGAGTAGATAGCTTGACTTTTGACACAGACCCACATGACATTCCCATAAGGAAACTAGGGAAATGTGGTCTAGATTAATTTACTGTAAGGTGTGTGCACAACTTGTTGAAAGACAAAACTCAAAGACTAGTTATCAGCGTTTCATTGTCAGACTGGGGTAACATTGTCCTGGGTCTGGTACTATTCAACATTTTCATTCACGATTTGGAGAATGGAGTGGATAGTATGCTTATAAAATTTTCAGGCAACACCAATCTGGTAGGGGTTGCAAGCACTTTGGAGGACAGGATTAGAATTCAAAATGACCTTGACAAACTGGAGTCTGAAATCAGTAAGATGAAATTCAATAAAGACAAGTGCAAAGTACTGCACTTAGAAAGGAAAAATCAAATGCACAAAGACGAAAAGGGGAATAACTGGCTAGGTGGCAGTACTGCAGAAAAGGATCTGGATATTGTAAGAGATCATCACGTGAGCCAACAATGTGATGCAGTTGCAAACAACACTAATATCATTCTGGGGTGTATTAACAGGAGTGCTGTGTGTAAGACACTGGAGGTAGTTGTTCTGCTCTACTCAGCTGAAATATCGTGCCCAGTTTTGGGCACCACACTTGAATTGGAGAGAGTCCAGAGGAAAGCAACAAAAATGATAAAAGGTTTAGACAGGCTGACCTATGAGGAAATGTTGGGGGGGAAAATCTGGGCATGTTTAGTCTTGGGAAAAGAAGACAGTGGAAATATGAGAAGTCCTCAAATATATAAGGGCTGTTATACAGAGGATCATGATCAATTGTTCTCCATGTCCACTGAAGATAGGAGAAGAAGTAATTGACTTAATCTGCAGCAAAGAAGTTTTAGGTCGGATATTAGGAAAAACTTTCTAACTATAAGGGTGGTTAAGTATTGGAACAGGCTTCCAAGGTTCGTTTCTAAGAACAGGCTGGACAAACCCTTGTCAGGGATGGTCTAGGTATACCTGGCCCTGCATGGGAGGGCTGGGGAGGGGCTGAACTGAACTAAATGAGTCCTTTAGATCCCTTCCAGCCCTACATTTCTGTGATTCTGTGAGACCTATTGGAAGGGTGGGGGCAGATTGTCCCATATCTGCTACTGTGGGGTTCTTACCACAAAACCCCATCTTTTACTGGCTACTGGCATAGACATGGAACTGGACTCGATGGACCTTGAGTCTGATCAAGTTTAGCAATGCCTAGTTTCTGTATCCATTTTCCCATTTATGCAAATACATATCAACCTCCACCCATGAAAGGGATGAGCCTACATCATGGGCCACGGCAGGTAAAATCTATTTGGGGAATACTGAACCGACTTCTTTGCTTTGCAGTGAGTGGAATCGCTGACTCTGCTGTGCTCATCCAAATGGCAAAATGGGAAGATCTTTGGGTCCCAAGTTTCCAGGACTTCACGGAAAGGAAACTCTCAAAAGACACCCACCCAGGTGAGGAAGAAGTTAAACCAACTGAGAAAACATCTCCCTGCCAAGTATAAAGCTGGAATTCCAGCAAAGCTATTGCAAACACCATAGTTCTGTCTCACTTCATCTTGTTAATAGATTTTAAGGCTAGAAGGGGTTAAAAGTGAAATAAACATATCCAGATAAAGAAGGGAAATGAAAGCAGGAGTAAAAAACAGATACAAGAAAAAATGAGTAAATTGTTGGCAAAGAGTCCTAGTCTGCAGTTAGGAAATGCAGATGATAAAGGAAACTAAAGGGATCAATGAAAAATATGTAGCCAGGATAATAGGACAATGAGATTTATTTATATCTGTCTGTCAGGAACAAAATTCTACAAAGGATATAGATCCAGTAATAGATAAAGAAAGCAGTACTGTCAATCATAATACAGAAAAGGCAGAAGTATCAATAAATGTTTCTGTTCTGTATTTAGAAAGGAGTAGAATGATATATTCACAGCTTAGCGTGATAATGAAATACTTTATATTCTATCAGTAACTAGGGAGGATGTTAAACAGCAACTATTAGACATGTTTACACCAGCAGGACCAACAATTTGTAATTAAAACAATTAAGTGATGAGCTCTCTGAACCATTAATGTTGACTTTTAATGAATCTTAGTACACCAGGAAAGTTCCAGAGGACTGGAAAAAAGCTAATGTAACCATATTTTAAAAGAATAAATAGGATCACTTGGTAAAATAATATGGATTTTAATATAGCTAAATGCAAATGTATACACCTAGGAATGAAGAATGTAGGCCATATTTACAGGATAGGGGACTCTGTCCCAGGAAACAATGACTGGAAAGGATGTGGTGGTGGTGGTAGATGATCAGGTGGACATCAGCTCTCACTGCAATGCTGTGACTAAAAGGGCTAATGTGATCCTAGAATGCATACAATTTTGAGCAGCAGTAGGGAAGCTGTTTTCCCTCTGTATTTGTCACAGGTGTGACCACTGCTAGAATACTGCGTTTAGTTCTGGTGTCCACAGTTCAGGAAGGATGTCGATAAATTGGAGAAGGTCCAGAGGAGAGCCATGAGAACGATTAAAGGATTAGAAAACCTGCCTTATAGTGACAGACTCCGAGCTCAATCTGTTTAGCTTAACAAAGAGTAGGTTAAGGGGCAACTTGATTACTGTCTATAAGTGCCTACATGGGGAACAGTCTAACAGAGAAAAGAATAACACAATCCAATGGTTGGAAGTTGAAGTTAGACAAGTTCAGATTGGAAATTGGCATACATTTTAAACAATGAGGGTAATTAACCATTGGAACAATTTACTGAGGGTTGTGATGCATTCTCCATCAATGACAATTTTTAAATCAAGATTGGATATTTTTCTAAATGATATGATCATTTGGCCTGGTTCTCTGGCCTGTGTTATCCAGGAGGCCAGACTGGATGATCACAGTGGTCTCGTCTTGCAATCTATGAACTATATAGGCTAGTTCGTGTGACATTGTCCCAAACAAAATCATGGAAAGGCTGATCTGGGACTCACTAAATAATTAAAGGATTGTAGCATAACATGGTTTTATGGATAGTAGACTGTGTGTCTTGTCACGGAGGTCACAGATTCCATGACTTTCCATGACCTCCATGACTTCGGCAACAGCCGGTGCTGGCTCAGGGGCTGGGCTAGCAGCAGCAGTTTGGGTGTGTGGGAAGAGGCTCAGGGATGGGGCAGTGAGTTGAGGTGCGTGTGAGCACTTACCTGGGGGGCGAGGGGGAGCGGTGGCAGTCCCTGGCTCCCACCGCCATGTCCCTGCAGTTCCTAGGCGGAGTGGCCAGGGGGGCTCCACACACTGCCCGCACCCACAGGCACCGCCCCCACAGCTCCCATTGGCTGCAGTTCCTGGCCAATGGGAGCTGCAGAACTGCCATTTGTGGAGGGAGCAGCACACAAAGCCCCAAGCTACAGGGACATGCTGGATAGGGAGCTTGCCAGCCCCGCCAACCCCCAAACCCCCCAGCACCAGTGCGGGTCCTGGGCTACGCACCACCGCCCGCCTCCTCCCCAGCACCAGCAGGGGTCCTGGGCCACCAGCACCCGCAGCACCCCCATCCCATCCCCCTGATCACGCACAGTCCCCCGGCCCAAGTTTTAGTTAGGGGTACATAGTAAAAGTCATAGACAGGTCACAGGCCGTGAATTTTTGTTTACTGCCCGTGACCTATCCATGACTTTTACTAAAAATACCTGTGACTAAAATGTAGCCTTTGGGACGTTGCACTCCAGAATGCTGTCTGCATTTTATTAGCAATACTGCCCCCTCCGCCCCCAACATGTTTTCAGGCACCCAGGGACCAGGAACCCAAAACTTCACGAGAACACCTAGGAATGACATCACAGGGTTTAAAGGTACTGGAAAGGTGCGTAACCAGAGACAAACAGGGGTTTTACATGTACTGCCTCCACCATGGACAGTGTCCAAGACTCCGGCAGTATGTTCAGGAGGAGGGTGTGACTTTGCACTCCATATGCTTTATAAAAATATGTTTATATGTGTCAATATGATGTAACTGGAATATGCTTTATGCAAAAGGTCTCTTGTAAGATATCATTACAGAGCTTATAATCTACTGAGTGTGGTCATCCTATTTGTATGTATGTATCATTCTTGTATCTAAAACTAGAAATATGAAGTATAACTCTGAAGTCCTATTGTAATTATGCAAAGTGTGGGTAATTAATAGTGGTTTAGAATCTTGATGACTCCCATTGACTAGGACAATTGGTTGTAAATGGCTCTGTTTACTTGCCCGCCTTCCTGTGTTTTTGTGAGTCAGGCTGGGAAGAATGGAGGGTTGGGGTCTCACAGGACATGTGACTATGTCACCTGGTACTGGAATCCATCTTAAACCTGGTGCTTTTCAATTTAAAAGGAGGGGTGGGGACCGAGAGAGACAATATTCCCGCCTTGTGCCAAAGCTATAAAAGGGGGTGGAACAGAACAAAGAGGGCTGCCAGTCATGAGAAATCCCCTAGTTACCACCTGAACTGGAACTAACAAGGACTGTACCAGGGGAAAGTATTGGGCCCAGACTAGGAAGGAGTCTAGTCTGTGAAAGAAGATTATTGGAACATCTCTGAGGGTGAGATTTACCTGTAGTCAGTGTCTTAATGTATTAGGCTTAGACTTGCGTGTTTTGTTTTATTTTGCTTGGCAACTTACTTTGTTCTGTCTTTTATTTCTTGAAACCACTTAAATCCTACTTTTATACTTAATAAAATCACTTTTGTTTATTAATTAACCCAGAGTAAGTGATTAATACCTGGGGGAGCAAACAGCTGTGCATATCTCTCTATCTTTTTTTTTTTTTTTTTTTTTTTTGAGGGTGGACACTTTGAGTTTACCCTGTATAAGCTTTAAAAAGAGTAAAATAGATTTATTTGGGGTTTGGATCCCATTGGGAGCTGGGTGCTAGAGACAAGAGTACTTGCTGAGCTGTTTTCAGTTAAGTCTGCAGCTTTGGGGGCGTGGGTCAGACCCTGGGTCTGTGTTGCAGAAGGCTAGCGTGTCTGGCTCAACAAGACAGGGTTCTGGAGTCCCAAGCTGGCAAAGAAAACGGGCTCAGAGGTAGTTTCGGCACATCAGGTGACAGTCCCAAGGGGGTCTCTGTGACTGAACCCATCACAGCCTTAACAATAGGTCTTGTCAAATAAGTTTTATCATTTTTTGATGACATTACATATTTGGTTTATAAAGGCCCTTGTATTGTCATAATATACTTAGACTTCTATAATGTATGTCTTGGAACAAATTTTGAAAGAGAAACTAGTTAAGGACAAAGGTAAACAGTAATTGGGCTAAAATACAACATGGTTTTATAAAAGGTAAATAATTCTTGACCAACCTGATTTCTTTCTTTGAGAAGATAACTGAATTTGTAGACAAAGGAAATACAGTAGATCTAATCTACCTGGATTTCAGTAAGACATTTGATACAGTTCCACAGGGGATGTTATTAATTAAATTGGAGAAGATGGGGATTAATATGACAATTGAAAGGTGAATAAGGAACTGGGTAAAGAAAAGAGTACAATGGTTCATACTGAAAGGTGAACTGTCAGACTGGAGGGAGGTTACGAGTGGAATTCCTCAGGGATCGGTCTTGGAACCAATCTTACTTAATATTTTCATTCATGAGCTTGGCACGAAAAGTGGATAAGTTGGGACATATTGCCAATACAGAGGAGGACCGGAATATCATACAGGAAGATCTGGGTGACCTTGAAAACTTGAGTAATAGAAATGGAACTTTAATATCACAACGTCATGCCCTTAGGGACTAACAACAAGAATTTTTGCTATAAACTGGAGACGTATCAGCTGGAAGCAACAGAGGAGAAAGACTTGGGTCTGTTGGTTGATCACAGAAACACTATGAGCCACCAATGTGATGTGGCCGTGAAAAAGGCTAATGCAGTCCTAAGATGCATCAGGCAAAGTATTTCCAGTAGATAGGGAAGTGTTAGCACTATTGTACAAGGCATTGGTGAGACCTCATCTGGAATGCTGTGTGCAGTTCTGGTCTCCCATATTTAAGAAAAATTAATTCAACCTGGAACAGGTGCAGAGAAAGGCTACTAGGATGATCAAAGAAGTGGAAAACCTACCTTATGAGAGGAGACTCAAAGAACTTGGCTTGTTTAGCCTAACCAAACAAAGGCTATGGGGACATATGATTGTGCTCTATAAATACATCAGAGGCATAAATACCAGAGAGGGAGAGGAGTTATTTACATTAAGTGCCAGTGTTGAGACAAGAAAAAATGGCTAAACTGGCCATCAGCAAGGTTAGGCTTGAAATTAGATGAAGGTGTCTTACCATCAGAGGAGAGAACTTCTGAAATAGCTTTCCAAGGGGAGCAGTGGGGCTAAAAAACTTAACTGGCTTCAAGACTGAGCTTGATAAGTTTATGGTGGGTATGGTATGAGGAGACTGCCTACAATGCCATGTGGCCCATCTTTGACTGCTGGTAGCAAATATCCCCAATGGTTGGTGGAGGGACACTAGATGGGTAGGGCTCTGAGTTACTACAGAGAATTCTTTCCCTGGTGTCTGGCTGTTGGTTCTTGCTGAAATGCTCAGGGTCCAACTGACTGCCAGATGTGGGGTCGGGAAGGAATTTTCCCCCCAGGTGAGATTGGGTTGGTTTTTTTTGGCTTCCTCTGCAGCATGGGGCATGGGTCACTTGCTGGTTTAAACTAGAATAAATGGTGGATTCTCTGAAAGTCTTTAAATCATGATTTGAGGACTTCAGTAACTCAGCCAGAGATTATGGGTCTATTAAAGGAGTGGGTGGGCGAGCGAAGTTCTGTGGCCTGTAACATGCAGGAGGTCAGACAGGATAGTCATGATGGTTCCTTCTGGCCTTCAAGTCTGTGACATTGTGATTAAAAAAAAAAAAAAAAAGGCATTATACAAAATCATTGTACCCCATGGGAGGGGCGAGGTGTGAGGTTGTGCTCCAGTCAGGGATTGGCATTTCTCTGGTCTTTTAGTTATTTATACCTCCCTTTCCCCCCAGACCCATTGCCCCTCCCGACTGGTTGCTTGACTTTGCCTCAACCCCTATCTCAAGGCAATCTTAAAGTGTGCTCTTGAGTAACACTTTCACTGCTCTTATCTGTTCCCATTGTACTAACAAATCCATCTGACTAGGCAGAAGCAACATCACAGTGCCTTTGTCCCTTTTTTACACATTTTAATATAAAAGTATCAAAAAGTCTAACCCCAAATTCTATCCCAGGCTAACAAACAGACCTATATACTAACAGAAGAAAATATAAAATCCTTGCTGGTGACACAAATTGTTGGAGTGGTAAATAACATAGCCAAATGCAAGGTCACACACTGAAGATCAAAGAATCATAGTCACACTTATAGACTAGGGGACTGTATCCTGGAAAGCAGTGACTTAGAAATAGTGATAGATAAACAATTCATAGAATCATAGAATATAAGGGTTGGAAGGGACCCCAGAAGGTCATCTAGTCCAACCCCCTGCTCGAAGCAGGACCAATTCCCAGTTAAATCATCAAGAAATCATCAATCATCAATTGAACAAGAGCTACTAGTACAATGTTGTAGCTTAGAGGGTGAACGCAATCCTTGTATTCATAAGTAGGGGAATATCACTTAGGAGGAGGAAGGTTCTGTTGCCTATGTATATGGCATCAGTGAGACCATTACCGGATACTGTGTCCAATTGTTGTGTCCACACTTCAAAATGAATGTTGAAAAATTAGAAAAGGTTCACTATAGAGCTACAAGAATGAGCCGAGGTCTGGAAAATCTGCCTTATGGTGACAGGCTAAAGAAGCTCATTCTATTTAGTTTATCAAAGAGACTGTCAAGAAGGGAGTGTACATGAGCAGAAAGTTTCCAATAGTTAACAGTTCTTTAATCTAGCATCAAAAGGAATAACAAGATCCAGTGGCTGGAAGCTGAAACTAAACAAATTCCAACTAGAAATATGGTGCTGTTATTTTAACAGTAAGGGTAATTAACCAGTGGGAGAGTTTACCTAGAGAACTGCTGGATTCTGTATCACTTGAAGTCTTTAAATCGAGATTGGATATCTTTTTAAAAGATATGATATAGCTCATTATATGGGCTTGATGCAGAAATTGCTGGGTGAGGTTCTGTGGCCTGTGTTATGCAGGAGGTCAGACTAGATGATCTAATGGTCTCATGTGACCTTAATAGCTATGAATCTAAGGAACCAGTATGATCAATATGCTAGTTCATTACTCACATGGTGACAGGTTTCAGAGTGGTAGCCGTGTTAGTCTGTATCAGTAAAAGCAACGAGGAGTCCTTGGGGCACCTTAGAGACTAACATTTATTTGGGCATGGCCACTTGGGTTTTAGCCCACGAAAACTTATGCGCAAATAAATTCATTGTTTTAGTTCGTTAGTGTAACCAGTAGCTGTCGTGACCTCAGGGTAGACCGCTGCATTCCACCAACCTGACTGATTTCTGTTAAGAGCCCCTCCTTTCCCTTCATTTCTTTTCTCTGGGTTTTCAGACAGGAAGCTGACGAAAGCTCTTTCCCTCTTATCTCCCTTGGGAAGAGCCCAGAGTCCTGGCTCCCAGTTTCTACGTTTATCAGCATTGTTTTATTTATTTGCATTTCCCCTTTCCCTGGGTTCATTTTTCCTGAGCTCAGGCAGTTACTCTCTCTTTTTATCCTAGCAGATGATGAGATTGCAAGTGAGAGTGAAGAGGATGACAGTCCTCAGCCGGAAGGGCCTGAGAAAGTGGAGCCTCATGGGACATTATCAAGAAGATCCAAATCAAATGTTTCCCAGAGTCAGCAGAGCTCAGAAAAGCAGCCGCAAAAGCCTGCAGGGAAGAGACGGGGTAAGTCTGCTCCCCAAGAGAGAGCTTTGGGAAAGCAGCAGAGAATCCACAAAGGGGAGGTGCCAAATGCGTGTCTGGAGTGTGGGAAGGTCTTTGGCCGGAAATCACATCTCATTAGACACCAGAGAACTCACCGGCGAGAGAAGCCGACTATTTGTAATGAGTGCGGGAAGAGCTTCAGTCGCAGCTCAACCCTCATTGAGCACCAGAGAACCCACACGGGCGAGAAGCCCTACAAATGCACGGAGTGTGGGAAGAGCTTCAGCCAGAGCTCCCACCTCATCACGCACCAGAGGATCCACACAGGCGAAAAGCCCTACCAGTGCACCATATGCGGGAAGCGCTTCCACCAGAACTCGCATCTCCTGACCCACCAGAGAACCCACACGGGTGAGAAGCCCTACCAGTGTACCCAGTGCTGGGAGCGCTTCAGCCGCAGCTACACCCTGACCAGACATCAGCGGAGCCACACGGGGGAGCGGCCCTATCAGTGCCCTGACTGTGGCAAACGCTTCAGCCTCAACTCCACCCTCCTCAGCCACCAGAGAACGCACACGGGCGAGAAGCCCTACAAATGCTCTAAGTGCGGTAAGAGCTTCACGCGGAGCTCCACACTCGTCCAGCACCAGAGAACGCACATAGGGGACAAGATCTATACGTGCCCCTGCTGCAACAAGGTGGCCTGCTCTAGCCTGTTCTTCTGAGTCTGGCTGCGGGACCTGCTCCAGCTTGTCCTTCTGAGCCTGGGTGTCAGGCTCGTTCCAGCTTGTCCTTCTGAGCCCGGGCACTGGACCGCTCCAGCCTGCCATAGGATTCCTCTTTTCCTGTTTGTGGATGTATCCTAAAGAGCAGGGACTGCCAAGGCACTTTGAGATGCTTTTCCTGTAGGAACCACAGCGAGCACAGCTCCTCAACAGGGGAAAGCTCACACTTTGTTCACCTTTTGTTTTAGTTCAGCGACTTTCCCTCTTGTGCGTGTGCATGCTGGGGGAATGTAATACTTCCCTTACATCTCCCTCCTGATTTCATAATACTGTGCACTTCAATGCATTTAAGGATCTTGGTTCTTCACACACACTAATGAAGTAGGCCTCCCACAGGTTTGAGAGATAGGGACATTTTAAAAATAAAGAAAGGGAGGTGAAGTGACATCAGTGAGTCACCAGCAGAGCTGTCACGCTCCCCAGCCAGAATTCCTCACTTATCCCATATTGCTGTCATGTTCCCCAGACCTGGTTCTCTGTGTGAGAAAGGAGAAAAGCGAGGGGAAAGCCCCTTTTCGTGGGGTTTGCAAGCTCTGCCAAAATACATTTCTGGGGCTGTTTTGCTAATGAACCTCCCAGCCTTGAGGTTCTGTGGGTGTGATGAATGTCAGTCCGTATGATCTTCACACAGGGCAAGAGTTTCTCTTCCTTGGTGAAAGAGCACTCTTATTTTGCCTTAGTGGGCTAAGGCCAGTGACTGGGGTGTGGAGGGCTCGAAGAAAAGCAGACCAGACCAAAGCAGAACAGCCTTCCAGAGTTAACACACCTGGAGTTTGTTCCCTGTTTCGTTGGTCGTGGGGAGGAAACCTTTTCCTTTTTGTACGTTGTACCTCTTCATATTGTTGATAAAGAAACCTGATAATTAAGCTCAGGAGAGATGCAGCTGTATTCAGTTGTATGAGCATCTCTCTGTCTTGTTTGACCTAACGTGTTTCTGATAGGAATTGTTCATTGTTTCTTTAAAGCCCAAATGAATTGTATGGACCCGCAATATCATAGAAAAGGCCTGGAAAAGTACCTGCTTCACTTCAGTTTGCAGCCTGCTGGAATGAACTTCAGACCAAAGCTCTGATTCCATTTACAGCAAAGTCCTTGTGGAGCAAGTAAATCCAACTCTTTCCTCTGAGGTCAGCTGATCTGCAACTTCTTGAGTATTGTCTTTGCTGCAGAGTTCGCTCTTACCAGGTGTTGCCCCTAACCTCACCTCCCACACAACCCTCTCACACAAGTTAACTGTGCCTTCTGTCCCAGCTAGCTGGCCTGGCTACAGCTGCAGGTTGGAGCCTGGGTACCACTTTCACTTGGGCTGGTAACCCGCCCATTTGCAATGAAGATGCGGGTTAAATCACTCGAGTGCTGATAGTGGAATTATGGGAAGGCACTGGAAGACTGTGTGCCCTGAAGGACTGACAAGTTCTCCCACAATTCACTAGGAAAAAATCCGAGTGGCTGATCTTACTGCAGCACAAAAAACCATGGGCTATAGCTCTAGAAGTCCTAGCAACACGTGGGGGAGCGAGGCACCAGTGAGGACACTGTAATGTGGGTGTGGATTTATAGGGTGGTCACTCACGCCCGGCTGTTAATGACCCAAGCTAACTCTGCAGTGAAGACATACTCTAAGGATTTTTTTGAGCTGTGTGTTAAACCAGTGGTTCTCAACTTTTCCAGGCTACTGTACCCCTGAAGCTGAGACCCGCGGCATGGGGCTGAAGCCTGAGCCCTGCTGCCCAGGGCTGAAGCATGTAACTTAGCTTCACATGGCCCCAGGCAACTGCCCTGCTTGCCATCTCCTAATGCCAGCTCTGTACTTGCAACCCCCTTAAACCCATCCCACGATCCCCCTGGGGCTCATAGCCCACAAGTTGAGAAACATTGATCTAGATGAGTTGACGTACCCCCTGGAAGACCTCTGCGTACCCCCAGGGATACACATCTGGTTAAAAACCACTGTGTTAAACCATCTACATTTGAAAATGCTCAGTCACCAGCAGGGAGACAGTTCTGAAGGCAAGAAAAGCTTGAGTCTCGACTCAACACTTCACTGCCACCAGGGAACCATAAATGAGCTGCAAACTGTCTCCCTCTTCCTGGCAAGAACTCCAGCAGTTTTCTGCACTCCCTGTGTGATCTTTAGCTACCAGCTTAGGACTGGCTTAAAATTATACTTTATCATCTACAAAAACATCAGCTTTGAGTGAGCTGCTAGAAAATGAAAATTAGGTGGTCCTGCAGTTATCAGAAACACCTGGAAGGAATTGAAAGAGATGCTTGTACAGGAGCCAGGATTAAAGTTCTATATAAGTTGAAGTCCTATACAAATCTTAATAGGTGCCTCGCAATTTGATTTTGCAATAGTGGGAAGAAAGCTGACAGTTTACAGTTTATGCTTTCAGGTCACAGAGATGCAGAAACTAGATGCACAAATACAAACAGAGCTGTTAGGGATATTGCTTAAGTGCTAGGAGAAATTTTGACCAGAAAGCAGAGGCTGAAACAGACCCAGGTCTCTATAGCATATTACCTGTTCTATAAGAGTGCAAAGTATGATGATAAAGCTACAGATGTGAGAAAAAGCTGTGTCATAGCAATGAAGTGTTGCCAGCTGATGCCCTATCCATACTTGCTACGTTAGAGAAAGAAGCTGAGGAAGAGAGACATGGAGATATAAGCTTGGTGATCCCTTTTCACAGCAAGTGAAAGGCCACAAAGAGTGAAAACAATTATGAAAGGATGGCCAAAGGTAATGCACAGCAGTCAGCAAGAGACTATGGAGGTTACAGATATAAATGTACAGCAGTGAATGGCATGATTGTTCATAGGCATAAAACTATTATACTCCAGTGACTTTACCAGTGAATGCTACAGGGAGGCTATTTGGGAATCATATGTAAAAGAAATAAACCCAGAGGCTTCTCAAATGTGAGTAAGCTATTTGTTCTACTTGAGATACAATCTACAGACCCATGATTCCCTGTCTGATACTACAGAGGCTATCAAATGGTCAGAGATGGGCCAAATCAAAACCCTGCATTGGAATACCCTGAAGTTTTGCGGAGGTTCGAATGTATATCTGAACTGCTTGATTCAGGCCCAGCTATGCCAGTGGACATCATGGATTCTCATGTGGCAAAGAACAAGTGAAGTTCATTACTGATTATTGCTCTTTGCACCCTGAAATGTGAACATTTGAAAGTATCTTTGTAAGACATGGAATTCCAGATTAAAAACCCAGATTTTTAAAGGTATTTAGGCAGTGTTCCATTCAGCATTGCAAGGCCTAAGGCCCAGATTTCTAAGGGGAGTTAGGGTGTCTAACTTCCACTGGGAGTTAAGCACCTAACTATCTTTAAAAATCTAGGTTTAAGTGATTTAGATGGCTAAATCCCATTTTCAAAAGTGACTTAGCAGCCTAAATCATTGAAAGACATTGATTTCAATAGGAGTTAGGATCTGGGTCTTAAGTGTTTGTCACTTTTGAGAGTGTGAATTAGCCATCTTAGTCACTTGGGGTAGATTCACAAAGGGGACTTATTTCAGAGGAACAGCCGTGTTAGTCTGTATTCGCAAAAAGAAAAGGAGTACTTGTGGCACCTTAGAGACTAACCAATTTATTTGAGCATGAGCTTTCGTGAGCTCATGAAAGCTCATGCTCAAATAAATTGGTTAGTCTCTAAGGTGCCACAAGTACTCCTTTTCTTTTTAAAGGGGACTTAGGTGTTTCAACACCTATTTCCCCAGTGCCCTTCCACCCAGTGGAATTCACAGCCCTAAGTTATGCATCCAGGCTCCCTAAGCATTGTATGGGGAGAGTTAGGTGCCTGATAAAGGGATTCTCAGAAGCCAGCAAGCTGAGCAGGGAGCCACCATAGCCAGCCAGGAGTGAAATGCACAGGAAAGGGCAGGGATTAGGACCCAGCTCCACAAAGGTACTCCCATTGATCTGGGCCTTAAGGATCTGACCGACAGGTGGGAGAGATTCTCAGCTGTGGGGAGCTGCGGTGGATGCTCCACCTGCCCTGGGTGTGGCTCTTACCATCAGAGCCCTGGCAGATACAAAATTTGTGTCCCCAGCCGCACTGCTATCTGCAGAAATAGTCCACGGATATAAAGCGGATACCCATGGATTTGCAGGGCTCTAGTTCTGGCACTTGCTTGGGAGGTGGGAGACCTGTTTTCAAACCCTTGCCTGATTTGGAGCGGAGATTTGAATCAAGGTCTCTCATCTCCCAAGTGAGCGCCCATACCACCAGGCTATTGGGTGTTCTGGGGTGGCTCTTTCTGGCTCTTCTGTTGAATCTGTTCCATTTGGTATTAAATAAATATTCCTGGGGCCAAAGGACACAAGAGAGAGGCTAAATAGCCTGATGATTAGCACACTTGCCTAGGATATAGAAGCAGCAGGTTCAAGTCCCTGCTCTGGTAAATATACAAACTGGAGTCACTCCAACAGGAGAGGGCTCCAACCCAGAATAGCTTGGTGGTTAGGGCATTTTCCAGTAAGATGGGAAACCTGGCTTTAAGTCCTTCCTCCAAATCAGGCAGAGCAAGCATTTAAAACTGGTAGAAACTAGGTGCTTAGTGGGGACTTAGGTTTAGGTAGCAACTGAGTGGTGATTTTTTGAATGTCTGAGATGCCTAAAATGTTGGATTTATGAGCCTATATCCCTTTGTGAATATAGTTCTACACTTTGCAACAGTGGGCAGAGCAATAGCAAAATACCTTTAAGAATGTGGGCCAAAGTGTTCAGTGCTATTAGAACAGAATGTTCCCCCCACAGAAATTAAGCAGCTTTCAGTTGGTGTAGATTTTAAGCATATGATTTCAACTTCTAACCGTTTTAGATCAAATGGGCTAAACAAGAGCTTAGTACAGATGGTGAAGAAGTGGATGAAGAAGCTACAAATCCTTTGAATCAGCTCCATGCATGCATTAGTAGATGAGGGAGAGTCACCAACTCAATTGTTGAGAAGAGGGATGAAAATTAACCTTCCCAGCAAGAAAAAAGCTAAACAAGACTCAGAATGAAGAGAGAATAAGATGAATGAGAACCAGAAAATTAAACAAAGTTACGTTGATTTTTCAGAAGAACACACTCTTCCATCATTTTAGCTTTGGCGACATAGTGCATCCTTGTGCCTACACCACAAAGAGGTGATTAGAAAAGCAGAGAGAGCTCCAAAATCCTCGCAAGTGTATAATGTGTTGGCTGCCCTTTGATTTAATAAACACGCCCTGAGCTCACAGATACAAAGTCTCCTGCAGATGACCCCTTAGAACTTGTCATTGTGGGACAGAATAGAGAAAAATGGAGAGGTTAATTAATCTGAAGAAGATAATACATTAAGAAGCTCTTAAACCACTACGAATTAAAAGTGTCATAAGTCTTTACAGAAAATTGTATAAGGACGTAAACGCTTGCTGGAGGGTGAAGTGCAAGTTGCCTCTTCTGCTTGGAGAAGCAGAACATACAAAGTAACTGATTTCTGTGTATGTGATGTTGAAATGTATATTGTATACATTGAGAGACAGGAAGGCATTGTTTAAAAGAAGGACGAGATAGTGATATAAATACTAGACTTAATAGATGACTCTTAGAATGTTAACAGGTATATGAGAATTTGGAGATGGTCCTGAAGAATTATTGATCGAGGGCAAAATTCTGCCCTGGATTCTACACCATCCAATCCCCCTGAAGGCAGTGGGGCTTGTTAGGGCAGGATGTGCCATGTTGTTTTGAAGAAAACAATTGACTTGATGGTGCAGCTATGAATTCAAGCTGAACAATAAACTAGTTATTCTTCTCACTCATGGTGTCGGTATTTAGAGAATGCAAAGAATGTCACACACCCATCCACAGACACCCCTGCAGGATCCCCATTCATCCTAGAGCCAGTCCAGAAAAGACTTCTGCTTACACCTCCTCCATACTCTTGTGCCAGTCACCCTGATATAACTCATCCACTGTGTGTCTCCTCTCAGCCCTTCCTCACAATCTCACCTCTATCCCTGCAACAGCCTTCACCTCCAAACCTGCCAGGTAGAACAGCCATCTTGTCTCTCTGCAACATCTCTCTTAAGAGCTCATCTGAAAACATGTCTTTGATGTTGTACCTTTGGCTTGTTACACAGGAATAACTCTGAAGAAACCAACACACCAGGCCTCGCTACATATACAGTCAGCTACTGGTATTTTAATAGATTCCAAGGCCAGAGGGGACCATTGTGATCATATAGTGTAACCTCCTATATTGTTTTAGCCACAGTGTTGCACTAGGAACTTCTGTTCAGCTGATTATCTGCCTTGACTCACAAATCTTTTTCAGAGTAACTGCCTCTGTAAATATGGCTGACGTTCTTTGTTCTTAGATGTATACATTTACACTTAACCATATTAAAACACATATTGTTTGCGCCCAGTTTGCCAGCCTATCCAGATCACTCTGAATTAGTGACCTGTCCTCTTTATTATTTACCATTCCCCCAATTTTTGTGTCATCAAATTGTATTAGTTATGATTTTATGTTTTCTTCCAGATCATTGATAAAAATATTAAATAGTCACAATGTTGTGCAATACCATGTCACATGCCTTACAGATGTCAACACTATTACCTTTATCAACCAAGCTTGTAATCTCATCGAAAAAGGCATCACATTCATTTGTGGCTGTTTGCCATAAACTCATGTTGCTTTGCATTAATTGTATTACCCTGCTTTAATTCAAGTCCCATATTGGCCATTCTATTAATTTGCTATAGGATCATTATCAGGCTGACAGGCCTATTACTCAGGTGATCCCATTTACCCTTTTTGACTATTGGCACAACATTATCATTCCTCCAGTCTTCATGAATTTCCCCAGTGAGCTCTGCAGTCAGCTCTTTTAAAACTCTTGGAACCAAGTTATCTGGACCTGCTAATTTAAGAATGTCTGAATTTAGTAGCTTCTACCCTGAGGTAGTAGTGGAATGGAAAGAGGGTTATCACCATATGATGAGACTATATCATCTGTTTCCCCCTAAATACAGAACAGAAATATTGGTTGAACACTGCTGCCTTTTCTGAATTATTATTGATAATTTTACCATTTCCATCTACTCATGAAGAAATACCATGGTCAGGCTTCTTTTTGTTCCTAATATATTTCAAAAGCTCCTTCTTGTCTTTCATTCTCCTGGCCATAGATGTCTCCTTGTGTCCCTTTGCTTCCCTTATCAATTTTTTACAGTTCCTAAGTTCTGATTTATATTCATTGCTATCAACTTCCCCTTTCTTCTTTTTGTTATATATTTATTTTTTGTAGTTGCCGTCGTTTCCCCTCTAAACCAGATTGGTTTTTAAGCAGTACAGCCTTCTTCCTTGATTAGGCTTCTTGATTCCCACTTTTCTGATTCAATTCTTCCTCCAGATGATTTGCCTCATAATTGTTTCCAGCTCTGGGCAACTGGTCACTTTAAAGTACCAACTCTCTCTGTATATACTACTGGTCTGTACTTTATTCTGCATACACATTATAAATGTGATCAAGTCATGATCATTTGTACCGAAGCTACCATTAATTTTTAGTTCTGTGATCAGTCCCTCTTGATTTGTTAAAAGAAAAGGAGTACTTGTGGCACCTTAGAGACTAACCAATTTATTTGAGCATAAGCTTTCGTGAGCTACAGCTCACTTCATCAGATGCATACTGTGGAAAATACAGAAGTTTTTATACACACAAACCATGAAAAAATGGGTGTTTATCACTACAAAAGGTTTTCTCTCCCCCCACCCTACTCTCCTGCTGGTAATAGCTTATCTAAAGTGATCACTCTCCTTACAATGTGTATGATAATCAAGGTGGGCCATTGCCAGCACAAATCCAGGGTTTAACAAGAACATCTGAGGAACAGTGGGGGGGGGGGGGGAGGAATAAACAAGGGGAAATACGTTACTTTTTATAAATGATTCAACCATTCCCAGTCTCTATTCAAGCCTAAGTTAATTGTATCCAATTTGCAAATGAATTCCAATTCAGCAGTCTCTCGCTGGAGTCTGGATTTGAAGTTTTTCTGTTGTAATACGCAAGTTTCATGTCTGTAATCCCGTGACCAGAGAAATTGAAGTGTTCTCCGACTGGTTTACGAATGTTATAATTCTTGACATCTGATTTGTGTCCATTTATTCTTTTACGTAGAGACTGTCCAGTTTGACCAATGTACATGGCAGAGGGGCATTGCTGGCACATGATGGCATATATCACATTGGTGGATGTGCAGGTGAATGAGCCTCTGATAGTGTGGCTGATGTGATTAGGCCCTAAGATGGTGTCCCCTGAATAGATATGTGGGCACAGTTGGTAATGGGCTTTGTTGCAAGGATAGGTTCCTGGGTTAGTGGTTCTGTTGTGTGGTATGTGGTTGCTGGTGAGTATTCGCTTCAGGTTGGGGGGCCGGTCTGTAGGCAAGGACTGGCCTGTCTCCCAAGATTTGTGAGAGTGATGGGTCGTCCTTCAGGATAGGTTGCAGATCCTTGATGATGCGTTGGAGAGGTTTTAGTTGGGGGCTGAAGGTGATGGCTAGTGGCGTTCTGTTATTTTCTTTGTTATTTTCTTTGCTCTATCAATCTGTTTCTTCACTTCTGCAGGTGGGTATTGTAGTTGTAAGAATGCTTGATAGAGATCTTGTAGGTGTCTGTCTCTGTCTGAGGGGTTGGAGGAAATGCGGTTGTATCGCAGAGCTTGGCTGTAGACAATGGATCGTGTGGTGTGGTCAGGGTGAAAGCTGGAGGCATGTAGGTAGGAATAGTGGTCAGTAGGTTTCCGGTATAGGGTGGTGTTGATGTGACCATCGTTTATTAGCACTACAGTACCCACCTGGCAGAAGTGAAGAAACAGATTGATAGAGCCAGAAGAGTTCCCAGAAGTCACCTACTACAGGACAGGCCTAACAAAGAAAATAACAGAACGCCACTAGCCGTCACCTTCAGCCCCCAACTAAAACCCCTCCAACGCATCATCAAGGATCTACAACCTATCCTGAAGGACGACCCAACACTCTCACAAATCTTGGGAGACAGGCCAGTCCTTGCCTACAGACAGTCCCCCAACCTGAAGCGAATACTCACCAGCAACCACACACCACACAACAGAACCACTAACCCAGGAACCTATCCTTGCAACAAAGCCCGTTGCCAACTGCGCCCACATATCTATTCAGGGGACACCGTCACAGGGCCTAATAACATCAGCCACACTATCAGAGGCTCGTTCACCTGCACATCCACCAATGTGATATATGCCATCATGTGCCAGCAATGCCCCTCTGCCATGTACATTGGTCAAACTGGACAGTCTCTACGTAAAAGAATAAATGGACACAAATCAGATGTCAAGAATTATAACATTCATAAACCAGTCGGAGAACACTTCAATCTCTCTGGTCACGCGATTACGGACATGAAAGTTGCGATATTACAACAGAAAAACTTCAAAAATCCAGACTCCAGCGAGAGACTGCTGAATTGGAATTCATTTGCAAATTGGATACAATTAACTTAGGCTTGAATAGAGACTGGGAGTGGCTAAGTCATTATGCAAGGTAACCTATTTCCCCTTGTTTTTTCCTACCCCCCTGCCCCCTTCCTCAGACGTTCCTGTTAAACCCTGGATTTGTGCTGGCAATGGCCTACCTTGATTATCATACACATTGTAAGGAGAGTGATCACTTTAGATAAGCTATTACCAGCAGGAGAGTGGGGTGGGGGAAGAGAAAACCTTTTGTAGTGATAATCACCCATTTTTTCATGGTTTGTGTGTATAAAAACGTCTTCTGTACTTTCCACAGTATGCAGCCGATGAAGTGAGCTGTAGCTCACGAAAGCTTATGCTCAAATAAAATTGGTTAGTCTCTAAGGTGCCACAAGTCCTCCTTTTCTTTTTGCAAAGACAGACTAACATGGCTGTTACTCTGAAACTTGATTTGTTAAGACAAGGGCTAATAAAAAATTCCTCCATGTTGGCTGCAACACTTTTTGAGTTAGTTAGGAAATCATCACCTGTCATGTTCAGAAATTGCAAGGACCTTTTAGTACTAGCAGTAGGAGACGGCCTGTGTGTGTCACTCCAATTGACATTCCCCGTGAGTATGCAGCTTTTCCTCTTACGCACGATGGATCAGTGCGTAAGGCGCTGGCCATCCTGTTCTCGTGAGATTCAGTGAGCTGGAGCAGGCACCAGCTAATACCCCATCGTGTGCTTTCTCTGTGAGGACATTGATCTAGAAGCATTCAAGATCATTTTCCTGCGGGTTGTCAGTGACTCGGAAACAAGTAATGCCATTTTTGTTAGAATGCCACTTCCCCTCTCCTTGTGCCCACTTTATCCTTCCTAACTAGGTTATAACCATGGATTTTAACAATCCAGTTATGGGACTCATCCCACCTGATTTTAGTAATATCAACCAGATCCAAGTTATGCTCATAAATGTACAGTTCCAGTTCCTCCTTTGTTTCCATTTGCATTCCTGTATAGCCATTTCTTATCATTTGATTCCTTGATGTGTTCTCAACATCTTGGGTTTGTATTAACTGTGAGAGGTGTGTGTGTGTGTGAGAGAGAGAGAGCGAGAGGCACGCAGTGTAGGGCGTGTGTGAGAATGAGAGAGAGAAACAGCATGTTATGTGGGTGAGAGACAGTGTTTGAAAGACAGGGTGGTGGGTGAGTGTGAGAGACACACAGTGAGGTGTGTGTGCGAGAGAGACACACACACACAGCATGGTATGTGAGCGAGCAACACACAGAGTGTGTGGTGTGTGAGCGAGAGAGA